ATATGGATACAACTAAAACAAAGAATATTATTCTCAAGAGAATGACGCGTGGCCTAAAATGGGGAAATATTACGCCCAAGTAAAAAGGTCTATTAAGAAAATTCCTAGACTCAAACTTCTGCGGAAAAAAATCGTTAATTTTCTATGACCAGCTCATATCATTGTCTACTGACTTAACTGCTTTGAAATGGATAAATATGGTTTATTATCATGATATAGACTGAAGTTAGGTTCAGTTATACTGCCGGCACGTGCAGAAAAATTACGGCTTCATCATGCCGGTGCGCTTGATTTTGAAGGGTTTTAGCTTCTATCTATTTCWATTTTTTTACTATTCTATCAAGCTAACGTTAAGTTGTTAATAGCTCGGGTGGTGTCAAAATTGCTTAGATAATTCTAAACACGTATATCGTTGGCAAGATCTTTGATTTAAGTTCAGTCAAAATTAATATATCTATAGTTTTATTGGTTGTTTTTATCTTTTTCTCTGATTCCTACGTCTAAAATTAGTTCTAACTACGGAAAACCTGACATCCAAACCGCAAACGAATTCCCCCCAAGGGATATTAATTTACTTATAGTAATGAAGTACAATACATATTTAATGTCATTCTGAAGCCATCATTTGATACTGTACTTAGTTTTGGACTCGATTATTAAACATGTTATAAGTAGTGTGCCTTGTGTTTTTCTTATTGTCATGAAAATTAAAACTCAAAGGATTTTTCTTCATTTGTGCGAAAAGTACTTTTTAGCGTTTTCTCAAAATTGTAGCTTTGCCTCTGCAGGTGGTTGGAACACTTTTTTGGAAAATTTACAAAAAAATTGGTAGAACAAAAACAACACAAGCATATATTTCAGACTAWTTTTTAAATCTCAGTCTTAAAGCAAATTATTTTAGTAAATTCTCTGTGAATTATTAGAGAAATTCTCGATGCTTTTATCATGTGAGAAAGAGTCTGACGAACTTGATTAGTCTGCACCCRACATGCGATTCAAAACCAAGTCATTTGCTTAGTTTGATAAAACCACAAAAACATAGTACGCAATAAATACTGAAACGATGTGAATTATATGTTCTTAGCGGGAAACCAGTGACTGACATTTACTTGTAAAACGTTAATCAATACTTTTGCATCGCCATTTTAAGTCGAGCAATTCAAAATCATGTCAAAACCTCGAAAAACAGTAAAGGAATTCTTAAAGACGCTAAATGTTTTGATATCCTTAAGCCAGGTGTATTTATGTTAGCACATCTCCTAGCTTGCGTTAAAGAAAAAACCGTTGTAAGTACTTCTTGACGAAGTCGTAAAGACTGCACCAACGCCGTCAGAGGATGATTTCGTAGACGAATTCTATAGTTTACAGTCAGAATTTTGAGTAACACTTTTGTGTATAAATTGATAATTTTAACTAATATAGCGGGGAGTTTATGCCCGCTGTGAAAGTAATTCTACTTACCAACACCAAAACATGAAAGTCAATGTTGCTCGTCCCGGCAAACCCGAGTCGCAGGCATTTAAAATATCGAATGTAATTCTCTCTATTATTTTTTTGTAATTCCTGGATAGCTACTTTGTACAAGTCTGATAGCACGTGATGTGCTTTGAGAACGGTAAAGCTAGAGGTTCCTCTTCGCATTAACATTTGATCAGCGGCGTATTTATAGTATTTTATCTTGTATAGGTTAACCGCACTATGATGTAAACTAGTCGAAATTTAAGACGGAAAGACTTGGAAAAAAAATTGAATCTATATGGGATAAGTAGTGAAATCCAGCCAAACCAAACTGAGCTGTACGAAAATCGCTGAGAAAGCAAAGAAAAAACCTGCAGAACACAAGGTCAACTGAGAGAGAATTTAATAAAGCGCAATGCAAAAAGAAAAAGTTTTATTTTTTAGGCTCGAAAATTATTTTAAAAGGAAGTTTCTCTTTGTCGAGTTTTTCTTTCTTTCTTTCCCTCTCTCTCTCTCTCTCTTTTTTTTGGATTCTTTAGTATTTTTTTCTTTTTTCTTTCCATCTTTTTAAGGTCTTTTTCTTCCTAATTCCTTCCTTCCTTCCTTCCTTTTCTGTTATTGTTGTTTGTCTTTCGATCGTTCCTTTTTTTCTTTTTTTTACTCTCTCTTACACTTTCACTTTCTCTTTCTCTTTCTCTTTCTCCATATTTAATTTAATTTCCTGACCGCCTTTTTTACGTTTTACTAATATTAGAAACATCTCGCAACTGTCAATCAACTTTGCTAACAACTCAGGGAGCGCGTTGATACCAATTAAAGCCTGATATTAAATTCGTGAAATAATTGAATAAAAAAGTAGATCTAGACGAACATTGATACATTTTACMTGCTATTTGATAATTCTAAAATTCGTACCCGGCGCTTTGTCTGGTTACATAAAGGTCTGTTGTCATACATTGATACGAAGCCACATTTTAAGGTTAACAGTTACTATTAGTTGTCACAGTAACCCTTGTTCGATGAAAATTACGAATGAGAAAACCCATTATTAAGTTAGTTCATTATTTCCTAATGTCAAAGTCTTACCCTTATTTTCAATTCTATGTTAGCTTGATTGATATATAGAGTGCCAAGCATTATCGCAGCTTTTCAAAGTGTACGTTGTCAAATGTTTCATACAGTCTTGACTGACAAGCGTTTGTGTTCCTGTGGCAAGTATCTACACAATGTCGAGGCGTAGGACTGCACTTTCATTGATGTTACTAATTTCATTATCCATTAATTATCCAAAAACACAGCAAGTGTGTTCTTTCTGTTCGCATGAGTACGACATTAATCCCACTGACAATTTTATTTTGACCCTGACGTCTTTATCACAAGAAAAAATTTTTTTTTCAAATGTCGAAATCAGTTTTGACTAAAATGTTGCAAAAAGACATGAATAAATATCAAACATAAAGATAATATAGTAAAGAGAACAACCATTAAATGACAGATTTTCCGGGAAAAATAATTTTTAGAGCGTCTTTATAAAATAAGGATTTGAATACGTACAGAGATGTTGTGATGTTTGGGAATCGTGAATTTTGGTTTTATCAGCATGGAGTTTATCTTGAATACCAGCTTTGCGGGAAAACAAGATAGATCAAGTTAAAAATTAAATACCAACACGCAGAAATTTTTCCAATTACAAACCTGAACATTCAAGATCCTTCTAGCTTTCTCGAGGAGTTTCATTCATGACTATATTCAGTTATTATCCCTTCGAAACTGGCTCAAAATGTACCCAGACTGTTGAGAMGATTAGTTCTTGACAAATCAAACTTCAAAGATCAAATTTACCAAAACCTCATCGTAGCTACAGCTGTGTTTTGAGATTCACTGCTTCGGTGAAACGTTTGCGTTGGATGGGACCCAATATAACTTGGCAGGAGGTAGTGTTTTTTCTCTTAAAAACAGCCATCTTAAAAATACTTAATTAGTCCTTGCCACTACATTCGCCAGTAATTGGTTATATCTAAGAACATTAACGAAAGCCACAAACCAATCGCGCGGCTTGGCCATTAGTATATTTCTAGAGGCACTAAAAGCAGAACACCTGACTAAGTGAATGGATACTGGACTTGTATTGTCCTGTAACATTTAGGTTTCCCTATCTGAGGAAATTTATTTTGCTTTAGATTTATGATCACGACTGGAGAAATCATAGCAAGACAAGACGGCATTAGAGAACATCGAAGGAAGATTGTAATCTTCTTTGACACCTGTGGTACACGATTGTAATAATATGTACTCTCTGGAAAGGATCGTCACTTAAATTGAAGTGGAAAAATGGAGAGCCTCACTCCTTAGATTCTTTTCTCTCCTCTTCATCAATACCGTTGACTTTTGACGACTTTTTGATTAAAAATTTAGCTTTGACTTCGGTCCTGATGAATTTTGTCTTTACGTGGATTAACACTTGTCGTGGTAAGTAGTAAGTCTTTCATAATTAGTTCATTTGTGATTTTTATTAATAGTTGTATTCGTCAAAATGAACCAGACATATTATTGAAAAACTATTTTATTAAAAATGATTTCGGCGTTTCATAAGAATTCTTATAAATAAATTTCTACGTCAAAAATACCTTTAATAAGTAATTGTAATATAATATGAAAATTCAAATTTAAAAATAATTACTTTACTGCCTAAGAATCTCGTGTTTGTTTTGTACAGATTTGTGGCATTTCTACTCAGAAATTATACAGTCAACGATGTTTAAATTTTTTTCCAAAGACCAAGAAATAAAAGAAATATTCCTAGAATGATTTTACCATTGAAGATGTTCCCTTCGATTTTCATTTTGTGTTATCCTAAAGTTTACACTTACAGAACGTTTTGTTTTTAACCCGTAAAAAAAATCAAAATATTTCTATAGTCTTGCTGAGATAACTTATTTTTCAATAGAYATACAAAAATAACAATATAGATAGTTCTGTGAAGGATTTGTTAATCAGAACTCACCAGATTTGCAGCTTTGTACAGTGGTTCTTCCTCGCTCGGCATCGAGGCGTAAACTAAAGACCTCCGTCTACATGTGAGTGTTTATCCATGAGTTTACACCTCTTCTAATCTCATTGTACTGCTCTAAAGCCCGGTATTATTTTGGTATTCTTTCTACGAAAGATGCTCTCTAATACATCTGTCGTTCTTTAAATATTTGTCGCATGTCGAAATGGAGTTGGCACGCGCGATTGTTTTGCAAGTCATGACAGATGTTCTTGCTTCGGGAAAGTAAAAATCTTTCAATCTAAGCACATAAAACCACTGGGAAACCTAGGTAAAAACCAGAGAATAAAACCAGTGATTTATATTCAAAAAAAGCCTAAATTGCTAGGCTTCTGTTGATCTAAAGAAATGAACGCTAAGTGGTTTTTGAATGGATCAACAATAAATTGCATCTTGGGAAACGTCCATCGTTTACAAAGTAACAACTTAGGAGTGCTTAATAAAAACAAGAGAGAACTTCAAAGTACGATAGAGAAAAAGTAACGTTAATAATGATGATTTAGTTAGAAAATGCTTTTAAAGGATGGTATGTATCACAAAATTGTAGCAAAAACAGTGCAATTACGTCGTTGGGGTCCTAATCTAAGCGTCTTCACCACGTGGAGGCATTATTTTCGTTTTCAATAGAAAAGAATACCATGTTTGCAAATATTTAAATCTTTTCATTCATCTGTAGATCGTCTAGCTTTAGAGGTGTTAATGAAGCCGTACATCAACCGACTTTCTACAGTTCGTACAATAGGATTGTCCAGGGGCCATTAGCGTAGACATGTTAAAAGAGTCTGACTTTGTTGAGGGGAATTAGAGCAGCAATGTCAGGTAAAAGAACCTTTTTTTAAGCCAAAAAGGGGGCTTTCCTTCACATGTACTTGAGCAAATTACTCACTTGATAAAGAACTCTAGCAATGAATTTGTTAAAATTGGAGTCGAGAACTTCTTGAAAATGGACTTCCATGAACAAGTAATGCAAACTTAAAAACTCGTTTACAAATCAAGAAAAAGCCGTAGTCTTAAAATAGAAAAAAAAAAGCCATGAAAATTACAAATACTAAGTTTAAAAAAATTCCCCTATAAGAAAAAAGTTGATAATATACAACAAAGCTCACTCACTTAGGAAGAAAAATGTATAAGAAGACTGTACTCTTGATTGGATGCATTTCAAACTGTTAAAGCTTCATTAGCAAACTATAACAAGTATTTATTTCTTCGTGATGTTACTCCTTTCATTCTCATAAAGATTTGAGGATTCTAACGAGAATTCAAGGTCAGAAAACAGCAGTTTTTGTATCCAGCCCATTTGAGAATATCTTATTTGTTTTATTTTTGTGTGGGTAAAAACGACGGGACTTGTACTAAAACGTTGAAAACGAASAAGTGCAATTGATCTGAAGATAGTAATCTCTTGAGAGCACTACATTCGTACTTATGTTTCCTGAAGCAATCAATGAAGATATCCAGAGTAAGCTCTTCTTTTCTGACCAGGAATAGATCAAAATTTTAGTAAAGTCGTTTTATTTATAGATTTGCAAGAATTCTTCAGTTTTATCAACCAAGGAGAGTTACTAGTTGTTATTGTTGTTGTTTATCAAAAATAGAATATACAAACTTTACAAAACACTCACTTGTGGTTTAGCTTTTCAACCAAATCCAGGAAGTCGCCTTGGAAATGTCTTTAGAACCACCAGTTTCTTTAGAATTCCAGTGTAAATCCAAACACGTTTGACGACCCTATTTCAAGTTATCATTCAAAGACTGAATAAATATCAGTTTGGGATTAAGAGATCACGTGGCGGGGTAGGCGCGCGCTACGTTTACCGATGACACTTTATAGTCGGGATTTTGGAAGAGAATGCAAAAGTAAAGACAACAGATTGGGATTCCTTTGTCTTGATGTAATCGAGTTTAGCATTAATGGAACCAAAGCGTGGTTAGTTTTACTTTTCTCAATTGGTGTTTTGTTTAGATAATCCTGCTCTGATCTCAAAATAATGCACGCACCATCAAACGAGACTTTCAAGTTTTGATATTCTAATTCGTACGCTAAAACCTTGGCAGACAGCATCAACACTGGCAGACACTTGTCGATAAGATAAGCCTATATTTTCTGTGGAAAAATTCGAGAACGCACACTGAAAATAGGGCTGTACCTTTAAGAGAATGATAAATAAATAGTAATTGTAAAAAGTTTTGCATAGAATGTTATATCATTTTTTTTCTGAATCTAAATTTTCACCTTATGAATCAAACCGTTTCCAAGGTAACATGACGCTTTTGTTCCCAAACAGTAATGAAACTCAAAAGAAACATAGTAAAAAGGAAGCTGCCATTCGTTACAATGATGCCCGTCATTTGCTACTGTGATACAAATGTATATCTGATAAATAGAAAGACACAGTTCGAAAAATAAGATAAAAAGATTTTTTTTTTGAAAAAGGCTTTGTCAAGCCCCCCAAACTTTATCAGTCCGAAAACATACAATGTATGTACAAACTGCGCCAAAACTGTCAGAATTAATTTCACAATTTTCGTCTGTTCGTCTACAACCTATGCCCACCTAGATAATAAGGCTTTTGATGTATTAGGTGTCTGATCAGTAAGCTGTATTTGTTCAAATGTGGGAAAATTTCAAAATTTCCGATACTCTGTCGCACCGGGGATCGAAATCTTACGCCTATCCCTGCAGAGTGATAATTTGAAAAAATATATTTTTTAGAACATTGAGTGGTTCACTTCTTGTTTAGACGTCAAATATTTAATCTTTCAGATTGCGATTAAAATTTCCATTCATTGCGCGGGAGTACGAAAATGAATCCTATGTTACTAAAATGAAGTGCATTGCAGCCGCTTAGTCGAGATTCGAYTTCACAAGAAGAAAACATTAGCCTTATAATTACAATAAACTATTGTCCTGAATAGTCGTACGAATTAACAATAAAAAATCCCTCTAAGAATAAAGTAACAAACAACTTAAAGTATCCTTAAATRACAAGAGATCTCCAGCTGCGTGGAGTAGAATAACAAACTAACTAAGTCATTTATTATTAATACGATTATTATACTATAAACTTTTAGTTGAAAAACATTTGTTTAAGTTTCTGAATAGGGATTTTGGTATCGGAGTTTGATTATAAATTAAGATTTGATAGAGATTTCAAAAATTATTTCTTTTTTAGATTTTTTAGGACTTCATGAGTAACTTATGGATGGGATTTTGTGATGGAAGTTGTTTCATATGTTTTCGTTAGGAACGAAACCATCTGCCGCCAATAAAACAGCTGGTCATAATACAAGACAATAGAGCGAACTCCTCCGCTTTATACCATGTCGTGACTTTATAGAACTGATTTGATTTATAAAACAACAGTATTTTTACTTTCGTGAATAGATCCTTCAACTCTATCAGGAAAATGATGAACTCTTTGTGATATTTGGTACTCTACCACGCGGCGGCGGACGGTGGGTCGATGTTGGAAAGTGAAACCCTATCTGCAAATTTCTTTCCTTTGGATCTTAATTTCAGTGTTTTTATCTTTTGACCTTGTCATATGTCATTACATGAACTTCGATGGAATTCTGCAGCTCATAAACTTATGCAGAGATTATCTTATACCTTAAAATAAACAGCTGACCCCAAAGGAAGGAATGGTAGGGTAGGATTTTCAGTCGAGATCTATGTATTTTATAATCAGCGATTTTACAACAATGAATGGTCACCTAGATGATATGTCTCTAATAAGGAAAACGCAGTACATGACGTTGTTCATTGGTTAGTAGCGAAGTGCATTTTTTTCGTGCGGTCACAAAGTAAAACTCATTGGACTGAAGATCACTATAAAGTCGGCCATTTTGCGCTCTATCATTCGTACGCGATCTTCTTTTTTTWAAATTTCAAAGTAAGACCAAATTGATATCATACTAAATAAAGTATGTGTGCTAAGTAGAATCTTTTAGAGATAAGACAACAGATTCTTACAAATTATAGTGTTGACAAGAGGCTGTGAAAAGTACGGCTAAAATGTGGCCTTTTTAATCCATACCTTTCTTTAAAAAAAAAAAAANAAAAAAAAAAAAACAGATAAAGAGAGGCCAGACTGTTAGGACTGGAAGTCTTCAGATGTGCTTATAGTGTAGAACTAACAACTTAATCCTAACACAAGAGATTCACAAGTTTGATGGAATTCATTTTGAATAAATTCTCCTTGACATGGCAAAGTTCACAAGTAGGGGAGAAGGATTTTTGGGTACGTTTAAAATTAGATCACACGTCTTCCAACTCCGTGATAATTTAAAACCTCTACAACAGAAAGCTAAGGACAAACAGTCACCAATTTACATTAAACTGATTGTTGTTGTGCATTAAGTACTGTGATTATACGCTGTTTTGATATATTAAGTGGGGTTCATAAAACCTAACCCACAGAACGGGTTCAACAAGAAGTGACTTATGTCGGGCGCGCGCACAGGAAAAGATTTACAAAATATTTTTGATCAAAACAATATATTCCTGTAAGGAACAACTCAAGTGGCTCTTGAGAGAAATTCGTTGTTGTTGCTACTCAGGTTCATGGATYGATGTCTTTAAAGAGTGTACTTCAGATTGAGAATGATATCGCGTTACTAACTAATCATGATTTTTGCGATTGGATTTTTGCAGTATATTCTCGGTATCCTCTCTATTGCAAAATAGGATTTCAAGCTATACATTTCGTTACCTTCAGTAGTAGTACGCTAGGACATTTGTTCCTATGACTTGAATTCACGTCACGCTCAGTAAGCTCTAAGTATACTCTCGTGCAGTTATATATACATTTATATATTATGTGTCTTTTGGGGTCTTTTTCATGTCGTTCATGCTGGTTTAAAATGCCTGAGGCGAAGGGTTCGTTGCTTGACAACAACTTACAATCATCGCCTCTTTTGGTTTTGAAGAGAATCGATACGTATTACCTTTACGCCTTGAAAAAGCCGAAACGTATATTTGCTGAGCAAGAGCTGACGAGAATGTTTCCTAAAGAAATCGATGTTCTGTCAACGAATCGAGCGAATTTGTGTCCTGCCAATGTGTTAGCGTAGGTCGACGTTTTGAAAGACGTTTCTCTGTCATAATACTAACGTTTCATTGAATGAACTCAAATGTTTTGAAAATGGCTTGAAAAAGTACACTTTGATGTACGGAAGCAGAATCTAAATACTTCTACTTCGTACCTTAGTTAACTAGCCGTGTCGATCCTTCACTACTTGCCTTCAAAATCAGGTCCTACAGAACCAATCTTTAAGTGCCGACTCTTACCTTGAATATCAGCGTGACATCTCATCTTCTACCAACAACTGACATGAATCCTATATATACATTTATTGACCAAGCGATCTGAACTCTCTTAATTAAACGGTTGGCCGGTTTGCGTAGGTCGGTAAGACTGACTCTATACCAGCGAAAAGGCCAGCAACACCGAAAACGCTATCAAAACAATAGCATGATTGACAGCTAGTCTCGTACTTATAATTACATTGGAATGAAAAGAACTGTTAATGAAGCTAGCTAGTACTAGCTTTCATGGTTAGGCTGACTTTTACCCATAGAATTCTAACTTGTATTTTTTTAGCCTTAAAATTTGTGTAAGTTTTAGCTGATTTTCCATCTGTGATCACACACTCTTGGAATCCATTTTCAAACCTCAAAAGAGTATTCGGAAGTGTCATTGCACACGATTAAGGTCCCTGAAAATTCTAAAGTTTATGTTAACAGTACTATTGTAATGAATTCAATACCCTTTTTCGAAATATTATTGATAATATCTATTTATATATGAGGGAATTTCGAAGCTGCTGTTTCTATCGCTCCAAAACTGAACCCACGCATCAGTTGAATTATCCTTTTTTATAGGAATCTACTTATCAGACTTGAAGCGCTCTTAAGCGAACACCTCGGGAAATCCAAAACTAGAGCTRGTCGCTAACCAGAATTGATAATAATTTTTAGAAGTAATGCAAGAAGAGGTTTCAAAATCGTGGTAGTTTTTTTTACAAGGAGAGTATCCACTAAATTTTCAAGATAACTAAATTGCCCAAAACATTAAGTCGGGTTTTCCATAAAAATGTCTTTATCAGTCGGAAATAAGTTAAATACAAAATTTCTTCCGTGGACCGCATGTCCGGAAAAGCCGAATGAAGAGAGAAAGAAACTCCCATACCAACGCACTTTGGAATCTACCCCGTATCAAGATAATCTGGGGGTATGCCAAATATTGGTTTTGAAAAAGACAGTTTTGATCCAAGAAGAATGTCTTCAGAATACTGTAATTTGATTTTCATGAAGCTCTCCTTGCGACCCTTCTATCTCGTTTGCGAACACTCTAGTTTTACAACCACTTTTTCAAGGTGTTCGCTTACGAGACCTTCGACTATTGAATTCAGGTTTCGTTTCGTAAGAAAATCCCACATATGGCAAAGCGCATTTAGAGATCCTAATGTAGTGATGGCTCAGCATGGTATTCAATTCTATTTAAATTGGCTCATCTTCACACGATCCGAGGTATCAAATAAAGATCTTAAAAGTGCAAACCGTTTCTATATTTACAGCTAAGATGGTACGTCCTAAAGTGAGGCTACTTGGATTGCACGGCTGTCTGAAATGTCACAGAGCTACTGAACTCTTCATTCTGAGCATCACGCTCGCACGAGAACGTTTTGCAACTGGTTTCCCACAGTTTGAGTCTCGGTCGGATATTGCGAGACTAACTACTGAAAATGCTCTCAGAAGTGGACTCTGCCAGTTTGCCAGTTTTTCACCACTTCCGCAAAAAGATTAGAGTTACAATATTGTTCAGAAAAGGTAGATGTAAAGACCGACATCTAAAGTGAATAGTACCATTCAGTAAGGAAGGCTGGCTTAACGAGGTCACTACCCTCTATGTATCTATATCCTCTCTATCAGTGCTGGGGTACTTCATTTCAACGCTAAGGACACGGGGGTTATAATTAGAGAAGTCGAAACAAGTGTGCAACGTCAATGAGGATATAAATGTATTTACCTGAGGCTCAGAAGACCGCACAATAGGCAAATTCGGTTTTCGCGCGCTTGCTCCTTAGTCCTTTTAGGAATACACGATTAACCCTTCTTTCCTGTTTTGGGTTCATGCTCGAGATGTAGGTTATCAAAACAATGATTCCTTTGTTTCATTTTCACCACCGCTGAGCGCATTGAGACCGACTAAGTCACATGTTCATGTAAAGCTGTCTGTCAAAAAGCTACCGTGCAGGTGGGCTTTATTTATTCAAATATAGTTTTGCCTATATGGTAGTAGTTGTTTCAGTGAAAATTGTTGGGACTAATTTCAACTGCGCGCTCTATAACCATCAGGTTATCCATCAGTTTTTTCTGTTTTTGTAGCACAAGATAAGCCATGGAAAGAAAAGAAGAAGTAAAAAAGAAAATGCGAAGTAACGGTCGCACATGGTCTAAGATGTTATCTAAAGTCCAAGAATTTTGGGTAGCAGTAACTTCACAGCCTAATCTACGGTACGTCGCAAAACCTGAACAAAGATGTTTCTGAAATTCCATGCAAAACCTCAAGCAAGAGGAAAATTTGGGAAAGATAAGTTTATGAATGACGACTAGATTAGACTCCAAGACTACATGGCGCACTATCAGAGCGCATATCTAAATCAGTAGTTCTGCCATCAGACTGAAAAACAGATTGGTTATTGCTAATGTTTATGCTTGTCTGATGCGCTGAAATACCGGGTCAAAAACAACTTTTTGGTACTAAAAGATTTAATAAAATTAATAGAAGAAGAACGGGAAAAACATAGATGCAACTCTAAGGGATGAGTAATAGTGGTACTAAGTGAAAACCAAGAACAATACTGCGTCATAAGAATTAAAAACGAGGTTTATTAGCACAGTCTAATTTGTTTGACTGATATTCAGAGGGATGTTCTGGCTAGGCTAATGGGTTTAGAACATCTGGCAATGACATGGTGTTTTATCAAAAGATCAGTTGATCGTCATAACATACCACCAAGAACTCGCTAAAGAAAACAATCCTAACAGTTTGGTAAATTATTGCGGTTGCCCTGATGTCGAAAGTCATACACTCGATACTCCTTTCTATGATAATACATGTATTTAGGCGACTTACAACTCTTATCAGTTGATTCAAGCGCGCAACTTTGGYGAAAGGATTTTTAGTGTATTCTAGGACGCATGCGCATTGTGGTCAGGCTGTGCCAATCGTGCTAATGAATGCGCCATTATAATATAAGAAAAACCATGACTGCTTATTTCTCAACGCGTTCAAAAGAAATGTATTCTTGAGTAGGGCATTCTTTGTATTGGAAGAATTATCAGTTTGAATTATTAGACCAAAATCATTTCCTCAAATATAAATACTCTTCTGGGACGCTTTATTAGCTGTCTGGCTATTTCAATTCGCCGTTTGTAGGTCAAACTTGTTTTCAAAAGAGATGTGTACTCGAGTAGGGCTTTTTTTTCTATTTTAATAATTATCAGTTTGAATCATTAGAAGAATTAATGTAAAAGATAAACACTCTTTCAGGATGCTTTATTTAGCTGTCTTACTATTTCAATTTGCCGTTTGTAGGTCTGAGACATTTGTGAGAGTTTACGCTATAAGGCGTCGCGGCCATGCGATGGAATCCACACCCTGATCGACAACGATTTGTAAGGTACACTGAGTTATAATCATTAATTTTGAAATGCGCCGATTTTTCGATGACAGCGTAAGTTTACTAAGCAGCTTCTAGTCAATTTTCCCATCGTTTATGGTGGTCATCCAAAACCTGATTGCTATCATAATCCATCAGGATTATTGATATATCGCATGAACTTTTTAAAAGGCGTATCAATTTTGGCATTCAGCTGTGTAATTATCTCCAAACGATAAGAAAAATAAACTCACAACCATTTAAGAATGTCTATAAGAATGTCAAGGCTTGTTTAAAATTGGCAAGTGATATGCTAATGCACCGCTAGTTTGTAGTTGCCTAAAAATAATCAAGCCCAGCTACTTGACTCTCTAAAGCTGTTAGTTCAAAGAATGATCTACAGATCTGGCGCTCTGATCTTCACCTTTATTTGCAAACACGTACCCGGAGCCAAGGGTTCTCGGTAAGAGATTGCTTTATTTGTTTGGACGTGGCACACRAGATTTTGTGATCAGGTGTGCGGCACACCTTTGAGCAGTCAGTAATATCCCAAAAAAATCGTTTATTTTAGCTGTATGTTTGAAATACCGTAACCTTGTGCAAAAAGGATATCTCTGACAGATCTTATAACGATTTTAAAATCGGTTATTTGATTTTGCGCAACACAAAGCCAATCATTGATAACAAAGTCATATGTATACTCTTTGTGGTATTTAGTTCTCATGCGCAATGATGGCATATATCTTGTGGTATTCATGTTTAAAAAATTTGCAAAGAAACTTCAGAATAAACTGATGAATTTCAAAAGTGACACTCGTTTTAGAAAATGGCTTACTTATTCACATAATCCAATCACAATTTTAGAATGTCGATCTTTCGAAGCAGAACATCAATAAAAACTGACTTCGGTGACCCCAAGTTTCGAGAATCGACTGATGAGAGTCGAGCATCTTCAGGGCAACAGTTAAATATTCTTAACAGGAATATAATTAGTTTAATCAGTGGATGGAAGTGAAATGCAAGAGGTTTTTCAAACACCAAATGTTGCGCATTCTATATTGTTCTGAAAGGAGTGGATACCCATAACTAACAGCTACTAAATGAATTCGCCTGTCAATATATATTCTCAAAAAGGTCAACTTATGATTATTTACAGAACGAAGAGAGAATGTCGCACGTCCCATTACAATGCGCCAAGCCCTTAGAGTTTCATATTACTCGAGTTTATATTATGACGAAACTGCGCGGTTGGTAAGACACTGATAGACCCTTCATCACCAACGCCAGTCCAAACACCTTAATGAGTTTTTCGTTGGGTCAGGGTTTAAGGAAGAGAATACAATATCACATATTAATGCATCAATCAACCAGTATCAAGACAAGGCAAGGGTTATTTGGGCATCTGTTTGTACATAGACATAAGCTTCAGACATACGCTTCACAAGAAAATGAAACGAAAATTAGCTACCAACTCTATTAGCGCAAATTTTTTTTATCCTTGTGTCAGTCATCAGTTTGTAACCAGTCAGCTTGGGATTGTAATCCACCTCTAGCTATTCAGTTCAGGTTCCTATATCCCCACCTTTTCAGCATGTTAAGCAAGATATGTGATCCTCTAATACTATCTTTAGCCTGGTATTTTATTTGCGTTTGATATTATGAGGCATTGCTTCGTATGCGTTTTGAACTATAAATGGCAGAAAAAATAAGATGCTTTTCAATATTACCAGGCGGATATAGGGACAATAGCTGTTATAAAAAAACGAGTGCAGATCGCGGAAATGGAAAAAGCTCAGATACTGTTAGTAAGCAAGTTGCCTATGTGCGCATTTTATATTTGGCGYACGTAATAAAGAGTGTGGGTTATATACCACGTACCTGTGCGCAAGGGATTGYGTTCTAATGCATGATCTGCGGCAAGGCTCTTTATCTTATAAATTAATATATAGGATTTATCGCGGGTAGATGTAGCAATAGACTTTAAAATATTTTACATTTAGATTATTTTCTGGTACCTGTGGTATCCTAGGCGCACAAGAAAGCTGTTAAAACCCGCCTCAAAAAATAGCCTGAGCTAATGAGCTTGCATTACACAGTTATACTGGAGCGACGTGGTCCAGACTGTTTTTTTATATAACCACAATAGTTGATCTCATGCGCATCAGTCTCCAATACAAGGTCGTGTCCCCGCATAAGAAATAAGCACAAGAAGCATGGAATCGATTATGATCGAGCTGGATCAAAGGGYACTCTATATAACTCTACATATGTATGTGTTCTTTAAGCATATAATTCGGAAAAAATTTGTGTTGCGGGTTTCTATATTTTGTTTTAATCCCTGCACGCAAGCAGCATCAAGTCGAGCTGATATTTACACCATAATAAAGCTAAACTAAATCCATTTTAAAGCCCTTAACTCTGCTGTACAAGCGGGTATTCGAAAACCTCGCTTGGTAATTATTCACGATTTGGTCTCGCATTTTTTCTCTCCACGCGCACGTCTCACAATATATAATGATAAGGTGGGATATGATGCTATTGGATGRGGAAATTTATTTATATAAGAGAATATAATTGTATACTCAGCGGTTTGATCGGTCAATTGAGTTTACTTGCGCACATTTTTGGTTCGATAGTAATCTGAGTTGTTAGGTGCTGATAACAAGATAGATTATCATAGAATACCTTGATCAAAACTTTAACAATACGATTATTTTTCTTGCAATTTTTCAGGGAATAGAGCCAATACCTTTAGCACTAGACTCAACAATACTGACAAGTTTAGGGCATTTAGTCGATCGACTAATATCATTAATTTAGCTTTGTAGTTTTTTTATCGTGCACCCTCTACGTTTCATTACATAATTACAACCAGGTGATTTCGCTTCTCTCGGCCAAAACGAATTAGCCAATCAGCGAACACTTTGTTCGTAGCTCAATATTTCTTTCTTCCAGTTGCAGCTCAATAAATATTCGGAAATATTCACCAAATATATTTTACAAATAGTATTCTTCGTTGTTGTTGGAGAACATTTCGTTTTGACGACGCATTGCGTGTCTAGATTCCAAATCCCCTTGAACCCGCAATCTTCTGAAAACTGAAGATTAGAAAATTAAAAAAAGTTCGCACGGCATTATGGATCGAAACGCATTGCATYGTTGTCATTCTATACAATGCATTAACAACAGATTCAACCGATATCGAGTCATCTTCCTTCATGTAGAAGCTTACTTGACACACTTTTTTTGTGACCAATATATCATTAGCAAATAACGACCGATATCGAACATATTTCGATCGGTTTTGTTAAGCAACCCCTGCAGGTGGCGGTTAAGTAAAGGTTGGTCGCTCAATAGGAGCCAAAACTAGTGCAAGAAGCCTAGATATGGGACTTTATTAACTGCGATTAACTGTTATTACTGCGTGTAGTAAATAGTTCCAACGAATTTTTAATGAGAGGCTAAATGTAAATGGTTGCATGGGAATTAAACAGCCAACACTAGGGTAAAACACTCTGTGTTTATAGCATGAACAGCATTTATGTTATCTTACAAATACAGTCTTTTCTTTAGTCAGCTACCATCTTGAATTAAAAGCATGAAATGAATTCGAATTTACTATGCAGCAATTCGCCACGTACTTTAAAATCGTATCCAATGCGTTTACCACTCCTGGGTAATGCCTACCAGGCCTTGGCAACCCAATCGATAAGTCAGCCCGCGATAGATCGTATTAGAATTTTAATTTGATTTTTGTAATTTTTTGAGAAGTAGCATTGCTCCACTGAATCCAGGCGGAGTTTACAACTATTTAGTGTCTCAGAAAGACACTTGATATTTGGATAGGTGTAACTTACTGTAGTTTACTAGGTTCACCCTCTACTTACCGAATTCATGCAGAATGTGTTTCCAGAATCAAGCATTCAGCCAACCTTTTATGGCCTCTTTCTTAGCCTAAATTATAAGGTACCATTTTAACGACAAACAAAACGAAATCCATCGGAAACACTTTGCGCATGTTAATCCGAACATCTACACCAGATTATCCCCCTAAATGGATTCCACAGTGTTGTGTTTTGAACACAATTGAACAATCGGTGCTGTAATCATTATGACGGCTAAACACTTTTACTAAGTGCTTTGAGTGCGTTGAAGAACAATAATTAATAGCACTAGTAATCCTATCGCGACTGGCCTTTTTCGTGACTAAATTTTATTGGATAATCTTAATCATGTTGGTATATAATTAAGAGAATTAAGATTAGATCAAAATGGCTTAGAGCTATAATAGAGGTGTTGTACCTTTCCGTCCCTGGCTAGCTATAAAGGTAATATAAATATTCCAAGATTTGATATTTTAATTAGAATCCCGCTTTCAAAAAAATCTGGAGATTGGGTTCTAGTTGCGACCGCAAAGCACGAGATAATACCTCTGGCTTTACGGAAACCTTTTTAAAAACTTGGATGCAATATTAAAAAAACAGCAACAACACTTGAAGTTTGATGCAGCATCAAGGGTATTTTGGTCGAAGAATTATTTAGGCCCCGTCCACACTATGCCGGATAAATTTGAATCCGAATTTTTATTTATTCGGTTAGGCCTACCGTCCACACTAGTCCGGGCGAATCCGGAACAATTCTTCACCGAAAACGATTTTTTTCGAATACGGTCTCGAGAGTGGAACAATTTGAAAACGCCGGCTAGCCGTATTAGTGTGGACGGAGAACATTTGGTATCCGAAATCTTCCGAATACGATGATGTCACGATTGTCATGGGGACATGGCGGGAAGGCGGAAAATTCGCCGCAGGCTCAATTTCAGCTTCGATGCACATGCTCAGATGTGCAATGAAGCGTTTTTGCCGCCTCTGATCGGATTAGCGTGGGCGCGAAACATTTTATGCGTTTTCATATGTGGACGGAAAACTTTTTTTTCGGTTTCGGTGTGAAAGTTGCGGATTCAAATTTATCCGCAATAGCGTGGACGGGGCCTTGAATCGCGCTCTACTAATGCAACATTGCGCGCAACAAATTTCATCATGTGAACATGGCTGCAGCATTACCTGCAACATTTTGAAATTTCCAGCCAATCAGCTAGCACCAAATTTATAACTGCTGACCAAATATCTTAACATAGTAGGCTGACACAAGCGATGTTGCGTGATTTTGTTGCAATGTTGCGTACAATGTTGCGCCGTGTGTCAGCACCTTTTTTGGACGCGAAACTCCGGCTGAATTCGTTCAAATGAAAAAGTCGGACAGCACTCCAGTCATCCCTTACTACACAATGGACCTTAAAGTGCCTATGACCCCTAACTCAATGTTTTCAGCACTGATTCTGCATGAAGTTAAAAGTTAAATAGTAAAATATTTTTATATGATTTGAGCGATGCATCTTGGAGATATCAAGGTTTATACTTCCAGTATGCTAATGAGTGTGATGTCATAGGCAGTTTTATTTATCATCATTTTTAAATCAAAACACTGATTACTATGAGRAAACAAATTTRCAATAACYTTTCTRTAAACCCTGAGTAAGATAATTATGTTTTATACAGGATATTTTACTGCCCCAGTAAATTTTCGTATATATTTTTTTGCCTACTATTTTTTTATATTCATTAGCATATTGGAAGTATAAACTTTGATATCTCATGATTTCTATTGTGTTTCCTTTATGAATTATTCGTTTTTTAACTGCGTATRAATAGGCATCAATGAGGTATGCCTACAAACGACGCCAAAACCAACTTTGTTCGCAATAAAGGCAAAATAAGTCAAATTTTCGAAAATTTAATTTCTTTTACAAGATGAATTGAAACAAGTTCTTTTCAAAATATTACTTAGATGAAACAAGTTCTTTTCAAAATATTACTTTAAAGGTATCGACCTATAGAAATTACAAATATACCAAAGTTCATTTTTTCCTTTCTCGCATAATTCTACAAATATTACTGGGGCGTCGATAAATTGAAAATATTGGCACACTTCACAAGTCTTGAATTCAAGACTTTTTGATTTTATGACGATTTTTTCTCTAATTTAGCAAACTAAGTGTCAGTTTATAAAGGGTACAAAATATTAGGTTATCTAAGTCCAGTTATTTARTCAAACTCCTTAATTTCACTTTGCAAGACTTTATTGTCCGTATCTTGACCACGTTTAACGATTGCGTTTAATGAGATTGTCAGTCTCATTGCGTATTGGTTAACTATATTTTCGAGGGGATTCTAGACGGTCACATGGAATGGACTGCCAGGAATATGCTTCTCTCCCCACAGCACCTTCAAGATGTACGTACCAGGTTCTTCTAGGGCATAGTTGACAGCGTAGACGTTGCTTCCTGTGTGTTTTACGTTAATTTCTTTGGCGGGAATGGCAGGTCCTTCGACGCCCACCATTAAAGAACCACGTCCGGCATTGCTGGCGTTGACTGTAAAAGAGTTGGGTTGTCCAAGGACGGCTCTGTGTAGTCCTGTTCCTCTTGAAGTGCACTTCGAGGCATCTCCATCGCTGGGTGTAGGTCCCTTTCCACTAGAAGAGAAAACGGTAACGTTGTAGGGACTGTCTGGTATGTGCTGACCGGCGAACTTGATACTGATAGTGTATTCTCCCGCCACAACCGGGTAGTATGTGACTTGGTAGGTTCCGTCTTGATTCTCTGTACAATTCATTTTGACCTTGGCAGGACCATCGACGGAAAGAGCTAGAGCACCAGATCCAGCTTCCAAGGCGTTGACAGTAAACTCGGCGGGTTCACCAGCCTTTCCGCTGCTAAGACCTGGTCCGTATGCCTTGACCTTTTCTGGGTAAGATCCTCCACCACCTACGCGAATCTTGAATGGACTTCCGGGGATATGCGTGTCGTCAAATTTAACATTTACCAAGTGATCTCCAAACTCTTTGGGGACAAAGCGAATTGCATAGTTACCATTTCCGAGAGATGATACAACCGCTTTTGATTCATTTCCTGATGGAGCAATAACGGTGGCGGTAACACTGCCAACAGGGGCGTTGGTCTGGACAGAGAAAGATGCTGGTTGGCCAACTTTTAGACCAGTCTCTGCAAGGTCTTTAATGTTCAGGTTACGGAAACGATCTTCCACTTCGCTCGTCACAAAAACCTTGAAAGGACTTCCAGGGATATCTTCATCAGCGAATCGAATGTGTATGGTATATTCTCCGGGGGCGGTTGGTAGGTAGTTAATATTACAAGAGCCATCTCCGTTATCTTGACATGTTATTTCAGCTTTAGCTGGACCTTCAACAGCAATAGCAAGACCACCTGGACCAGCATCACGTGTCCATACTGTAAACTCACCAAGCTCGTTGACCACACCTCTTTCAAGACCTGGTCCAGCAGCAATACATTTAGCTGCTCCTCCCCAGGCGGGTGCTTCCACAAATAGTTTGAAGGGGCTTCCTGGAATATGGCGACCTCGGTACATAACGTTGATTATGTGTTCTCCACTTTCTTTAGGCATAAATCGAATAGTGTAGCTGTTGTCTTTGCTTTCCACAATCTCAGAAGGTAATTCCTCTCCTGTCGGGTCTACCACAGTCGTTTGGAGATCTTCAATTTTATAACCTTTAAGGTCAAATACGAAGTCTTGGGGCTGAGGTGCGGCGCCTCCGAAGCTGACAAGATCTTCAAATACTTGTGACACACGTTGGGTTGGTTCTGACTCGAGGCCATCAACATCTTCACATACAATTTCTTCTTCTCCTGGTCTGCGAATCATTGCCTTGAATGGACTTCCAGTGACATGCTCATCTGCAAACTTCACATTAATGGTGTATTTTCCAGCTTCTTTGGGTAGGTAATCAACCGAGCATGTGCCGTCTTCATTATCCACGCAGTTGATTTCAGCTTTGGATGGTCCTTCGATAGAGAGGCCAAGTCCACCATAGCCAGCATCACGAGTGTTGACGGTGAAACGGGCAGGAGTGTTGACAACGCCTTTCTTCAAACCTGCAAAATAAATACAAAAAACATAAGAAACAGAATCTCGAGAGCTTTATACTTTTAATTATCCAAGAGGTGATGTTTCCCTATTATTTTTTCACGAGCCTAGAATTTATCATACTTATATCCGTCTCTTAAATACTAATTATTCATGGTATATTTTCTTTCATTAAAAAAAACTTACCATCACCATAGACTTTGACCTTGGAAGCATCTGCTGGTCCAGGTCCACTGACCATTACAGAGAACGGGCTTCCAGTAACATGGCGACCTTCTTTCTTGACGGTGACAAAGTGTTCACCAGTTTCTTGTGGAACAAAGGAGACGCTCAGTGTGTTATCGGAGTTTAGGACTAGCTTTAATGGTTCTTCGTAGGTCTTTCCAGGTCTCCTGAGGCTTGAGGTAAGAAGATTGAAATCTTGTGGCAGTTTCAAGCCAGGGATTTCAAGACCGACACCACATGGCTTTCCAATAGCGTTGGAACTTTCTGGGGCGACGACCATGACAACAAATGGACTACCTTCAACGTGTTTTCCAAACTTCTTGACGCTAATTACGTGTTCTCCTGTTTCTTGAGGTACAAACACAGCGCTTAGGGTCTTGTCGGAGTTCAGCTTCAGTTTTAGTGGTTCCTCTGTCTTCTTGGAAGGCCTCTTGAGTGTTGCGGTAAGTCTCTTCAGATCATCTTCATCGAATTGTCCCGGCAGACAGCAATCACATGGTTTACCTACAGCATTAACAGGTTCAGCAGCCTCAACCATGACAGAGAATGGACTGCCAGGAACTTCTTTTCCGGACTTGGTAATATGGATTTTGTGCTCACCTGGCTCTACTGGTACGAAAGAAACGCCAAGAGTATTATCCTTCTCGTTCAATTTCAAGGTAAGTGGTTCATCTTTGTCGCTGTTAGGTCTTCGAAGGGTTGCTTTCAGTAACTTGAAATCTTCAGGAAGCCTGACTCCAGGGATGTCTAAGCTGAGATCACAAGTCTTCTTCATGGGATGTACCTCTTCAACCTTTTCTTCCTTTCCGACAACCATGACACTGATGGGGCTGTTTTTGAGTTCATGGCCGTCTTTTCTAACGTGAATAAAATGCTCTCCAACTTCTCTCGGAGTGAAAGCAACGCCAAGAGTGTTGTCGCCGTTAAGAAGAAGGCGCAGTTCTTCCTCCTCTTTGCTTGATGGTCTCTTAAGTGTAGCAGATAGACGGGGGAAGTCCTCGGGAAGGTTGACGTCGTCGAAATCAAGTCCAAGTCCATAAGGACGACCAACTTGACTAACAGCTTCTGGAGCAGTGACGTTGACAGAGAATGGACTTCCCATGACATCACGACCACGCTTCCTGATATGAATCAAGTGGATACCAGTCTCACGAGGAATAAACGAGGCGCTAAGAGACAGGTCTGAATTAATCTTTAGGCCAATTGGTTCTTCCTTGTCACTTGATGGTCTCTTGATAGTTGCTTGCAATTTGTCAAATTCTTCAGGCAAATTGACGTCATCCTTGATATCGAAGCAGTAATCAACGGGGCAGCCAACAGCCTCTATTGGTTCTTCCGCCTCAACAAGAATTGAGAATGGACTGCCACGGATTGGTGTGTTATCTCTCTTCACGCTCAAAAAGTGTTCACCTGGCTCACGTGGTACGAACGAGACACTAACAGTACCATCTGGATTTCTGATAAGTTTGACTCGCTCTTCAACTTTGCTGTGTGGTCGACGAAGAGTTGCCTGCAGTTTGGACAAGTCACCATAGTTGTCAAGTCCAGGTATCACGACATCGGCAGTGTGACCGACAGGGAAGACATCACCTAACCTCTGTGCTTGAACCATAACTGAGAAAGGACTGTTCTGGACGTGGCGATTATCCTTCTTGATGCTGATAAGGTGCTCACCGGGTTCGTAAGGTACAAAGGTAACACCTAGACTACCATCATCATTGACGCGAAGTTCCAAAGGCTCATCGCGAGTGCTGGATGGTCGCTTTAGTGTTCCCTTCAGTTTTGATATATCGGCCACGTCTGGAATGTCAAGGCCAACGTCACATACCTTACCGACAGTGGGTCGTGGTTTTGCTGCAGCAAGGTCATCCCAGTTGTTGTAAATCTGTGCGGCGAAAGGGCTGCCGGGGATATGCTTGTCGGCAAACTTGACGTTGATGTTGTATTCGCCTGGTTCTTCGGGTACGTACGATACATTGCAAGATCCATCACCATTGTCTTCACACTTGATGTCAGCTTTGCTTGGACCTTCGATGGCAAGGGATAAACCTCCTGGCCCTGCATCTCTTGTAACTACTGTAAATTCACATGGTTCCTTGGTGAGTCCACGTTCAAGACCTTGGAAAAAATGATAGAGTAAATATGAAAATCCATCATAACTTTTGTTGACGATAATTTCTCATGTTTAACTTACCTTTTCCAAATGCTTTGACGCTACCTGGTCCACCCTCGATGGCATTGAATTTGAATGGGCTTCCTGGAATTGGTTGTCCTTCATATTTCACATCCAATTTATGCGGGCCAGGTTCTTTTGGAACACAACCAATATCATAAGTACCATCTCCATTATCTTTCGCTTGTATAGGTTCTTTCTTTCCATTAGGACCTTCTAAGGTACCCTTGATGGGATTGTGCGATGGGAAAGCTTCCACAGGTCTTGCATCTACAGCATATACGAGTTCTTGATTTACTGCTGGCTCATCAATGGGATTCTTTGGAGCACATTTGATCTTACTGACGTCTACGCCCTCCTTGGCCTTGACATGGAATGGACTTCCGGGTACTGGCTTGTCAGCGAACTTAATATCCATTGCATGGCGTCCTTCGTCTTGAGGTTCATAGAAACACGTGTATGTTCCATCTTTATTTGAAACAACCTCGACAGGGACTTTCTTTCTATTTGGACCAACGCACGAGACCTCGGGTGTTCCTGTGACGACAAAGCAAAAGAATATGAGGTCCTATTCYTAAGATGCAAGCGTGTGGATTTTTTTTTAAAAGGCGTAAGGTTTGGTATCAAATGACATTTTTTTGTATGAAAGGTGACGCCATGTGGGCACAACATATTTTTTAACGAAACTAAGGAAAACAGTTCTCTTACCTTTTCCTGCTTCTCTAGCATCAATGACAAACTCATTGTCTTGACGAACGATAGCAACGTCATCAGGTCCAAGTCCCTCGACCTTCACCTTAGAGGCATCACCAGCGGGTTTGATAGTTGGTTTGAATGGACTCTTGGGTACGCGTCGGTTTCCATATTTGACATCGATGTTATAACGTCCTGGTTTGTCTGGGACGTATTTGACAGTATGGGTGCCATCACCATTATCCTTGATCTCGGGTGTAATATCCCGTCCAGTTGGTGGTGAAACGACAACTATGAAACAAAGATCAATTTTAGTTTACAATGTAAATCGAGTGAGTGCGGAATCTCGTTTAGAGCTGATTGGAGTAAGAAAAAACATGCTTTACTCACCAGATAGAGGTGCATCTCCAGCCTCACTGCAGTCACATACGAATTCAACAGGCTCTTCAGTGAAAGGTTCTTCATCGACGCCGCGTCCTGATACCTTGACTTTCGATGCATCGAATGGTGGTCCAGCGCGGACTCTGAAAGGACTCTTTGGCACATGGGTGGAAGCATACTTGACGTTCACATTATAACGTCCTATAGGATGAACGAAATTGAGTTATTGCTATGCCAGTGAAGAATAATTTAAAGTATATTTCCTTACAGTGGACCCCACTGAAAACCAACTCCAGGAAGAACTGGATCGCAGGATGCGAGCTGTTAGTAAATGAAAAAATCGAAAACTTACCTTCATCAGCTGGAAGGTAGGTCACAGCATAGACACCTGGTTTTTCCTCAACAACACTATCAGGCTTGATGGTCTTCCTGTTTGGAGTTTCAATAGCTACATCAAGAGGAGCAATTCCAGCTTCTGTGGTATCGACAATAAGCTTTTGTGGTGCCTTGGAGTACAAGGGGTTATCAGTGTCAACTCCAGGTCCATGTACTTTAACTTTAGAGGGATCTACAGGAAGCCCAGCCTTGGCTGTGAAGGGGCTTCCAGGTATGTGTTCGTCAGCGAATTTGATATGGATGTCATAGTCTCCTTCCTCGACTGGCACGTAGCTAACTGAGCAAGTACCGTCGCCATTGTCCGTGCATGTTAGCTTAGCTTCGGATGGTCCCTCGATTGCAAGGCTCAAACCACCAGCACCAGCTCCTGTATAGACAAATATTTATAATAGTTTTATTATTTTAGCTTGGAATATACAATAATTTGGCTTTAAGGAGGGATTACAGGGTAACCAGAGTATCAGGCACTGGGGAAGGGAGGAAGAGAAGGGGTGCTAGATGTGGAAAGAGAATTGGCCATCATTTTACTCCCAACACTTGCTACAAAACATCAACAAACCTTTTGTTTCCACAGTGAATTCAGCAGGTCTATTTATTTCAGCACGCTCTAAACCTGGTCCATAAGCTTTGCATTTCGATGYGTCAGTTGGTGGAAGAACATCGACCTTGAAGGGGCTTCCTGGGATATGATCACCTGCGAACTTTACTGATAGATCGTGAATGCCTTCCTCGAATGGTGTGTAAGATACACTGTATGAGCCGTCTTCGTTGTCTGTGACCAGGGTATCTGTGTGCGCACCAGAAGGATTTGTCACGGAAGCCATAAGTTGTCCAGTTCCTGAAAATTGGGAATAATTAAAGAAATTAAGTTGGACTTAATTTAGACAACTCTGCTCTGTATAAATTAAAATACCTCAGGGCAAACCACAGGTAGCCCAATTAACGACGCCTACAGTTTTCCAACAATAAATCAAAGAGGGAAAAAGAAAGAAAATCAATTCAGTCATTTGGAAAGACAATCTTACCAGCTTGGGAGCAGTCAACATCAAACTCAGCCAGCATATCAATGATGGCTGTCTCTAAACCATCACCCTGAGCTCTACATTTACCAGCATCACCAGTTTTTGCCACATTAACTTTAAATGGACTGTTAGGGACAGGTTTACCAGCAAATGAGACATTGACGTTGTAAGGACCTTCATCTGGTGCAACGTAGTCGCATTTGAAATTATCTTTGGACACTTCTGTTACAGTTATTTTTTCAACGGGTTTCAGTCCTCTCTCTGAAATTAAAAGAATATTGGTAAATTTCCGAATAAAATAGAACTAAAAAGAAATTAATTAAAAGAGTAAATAAATAAAAAAAAAGCTTGTAAAGCGGTTTTGCATATTAAGTAACACRTGACACGATTGCAGTCATGTGACAAAAAATTCCCGCCATTTCCCAGACGCGTGCCGTCCATGTTGTTGTACATCGAATGTAAACAAAAATAGAGTAGGTGAATATTATTGCAGTATTTATGCATTTATTTAACCAAAATCATCGATATTTGGCCCCGATTGCAGGTATATAACACTGCTTTAATACATGACTATGATTTTAATCGAAAATATATTCTAACCAGTGCACGTTCTTTGAGCAGGCCCTTTAAACATTAACTTACTTGCTGGCTCAACACTGACATGTACGTCTCCTTTACCAGCTCCATCACAAGCAATGTTGAAGTACGTTGGTTTGTTTGGTTCGACACCAGAGGGTTCTACGCCAGGGCCTGAGACCTTGACTTTTGATGGATCAGAGGAAGGTGAGATTGGGACTTTGAATGGACTGCCGGGTACATGGGTGGAACCGTATTTTACGTTGACTTTGTGGTTACCTATTGCAATAACAAGAAAATAACTTCATTATAAAGTTTACAAGAGCTTACGAGGGTATAAAAGGATTGATTGTTGAATATTTTACCAGAGTTCTTGTCTGGGAGGTAGTGTTAATATATCCAAACATTTTACAGTGCGAATCCAAAATCCGTGAGCACTTCGAAATATTCCAGGCATTTTCTATTGTTCTTTGGCCAAAGATATCCCTGAAATATTTCTAGGTGCCCACGGTTTTTCAAATATTTGCACTGTAAGGAGGAATTACCTTGCTTGTTGGGGAAGTAGGTTACCGCATGAAGGCCAAACTCTTCCTCTTCTACATCACATTTGACTGGAGAATTCTGTTCATCCACCACACTGACTTCTAGTTTGGCATCACCAGCAAGACGGGTGTCAATGTCAATATCAGCTGGTTCGCCAGCACGAATGCCTGGCTCAATACCAGGACCCTCAACTTTGACCTTGGTTGGGTCAAAGGGATAGTTGATTCTTGCCTTGAAAGGACTTCCAGGAATATGTTTGTCGGCAAAGAGAATATTGATCATGTAATCACCAGGCTCGTTTGGAATATAGTCAACATCGCATGATCCATCTCCAAGATCTTTGCAGTCAATTTTGGCTTCTGAAGGTCCTTCAATTGTAAGTCCAAGACCACCTTCTCCAGCACCTTTAGTTTCGATTTTGAACTGATTAACTTGGTTGACAAATCCTTTCTCCAAGCCAGGACCAAATGCACGGCATCTTGCTGGGTTTGTTTTGCCAATGTTGACCTTGAAAGGACTTTTGGGGATTGTTTTGTCGTTGAAATGTATGGCGACAGTGTACATACCAGGCTTTTCTGGGTAGTAGGTCACTGAGTAGGTTCCATCTTTGTTGTCAACTATGTCTACTGGTACTTTCTTGCCAGCTCCATCCATGACCTTAACATCCACATCTCCATCTCCTGCTTCCTTTGTGAACACAGTGAATTCAGCTGGAGAACCTATGGTAGATTTGAGGGGGGTAAAAGTCACAATTTAAAAGTAGTATTAATATGTAAAGCAGATGTTTCAATACTGTCACTTTCTCTTATTTTTCTTTCCTCTATACAAAATTTCTATCTACCCAAATTTGAAAAATCATAAGTGAATTTGATATTCTGGCATCTTATATTGCAGAAATGTGCTATTAAAATTTTGTGAATCATCAAATGTACATTACACATGTATTATAAGATCACTGAATTACACAATATTTATTGCAATATGTATAGCAATCAGATATGTTAGGGAATCGGAAGGTTTCACCAGCTGTTTCCCAAAGGTGCTAGCTCCATGAGTTCATATTAGCTATTCTGGAGTTAAACACATTGCATCATGGTGTTGTTTTAGAGGATGCTTTAATACTTATATGCCATCTTTTTCACTGGCTTATAGTGAAAAGTTGAAGAAAAGTGATTGGAAACCTTAATTTTAGTGTTAGTTTTCATATTTATTTTGTTGAAGCATAAAATGTCAACTGACTGATTAAGTGTCCCTCAAAACAGCCCATAAAGCAATGCATTTCTACAACTCTAAAATGGCTAATAGTTATTAAGCATTGTAGAGTAAATGAACTGAACCTTCTTTTGAAGGCATAATACTAATCTACTAACAGTTCATACTCATGATTGTAAGCTGCAAGGCTGCTAATAGGGCCTTAATATGCAGCCGGTAAAGTCCTCCACAGGTCATAATTGCAAAAGTGCATTGAGACCATGTGAAATGCGCTATATAAGAACTCCATTACTATTATTCTTTTATTGAGTTTACCTGCACAAACACCCTCTGGTTCCAAACCAGGACCCTTGGCATACACCTTTGATGCATCACCAGGAGGTGAAATAGGAACCATGAATGGACTCTTGGGTATGTCAACATCACCACAAGTCACATGGACAGCATATTTTCCAGGTACCATTGGATAATAGGTCACATCACATATGCCATCTCCTCTGTCATGACATTTGATTTCTGCTTGAGCAGGTCCCTCAACAGCAAATCCTAGACTGTCAATGCCAGCTCCCTTTGTTTCGACTGTGAAGTGGCAAGGCTTGTTGGCAACACCTGTTGAAATTGAATAAATCATCAGTCAGTTTAAAAGAAAAATACTCATGAAATACACATATATTATATATACCCACCTTTCTCTAGTCCAGGACCATAAGCATGAATCTTTGCAGGATCAACAGCAGGTGCAACCTTGACGTTAAATGGACTCTTGGGTACTTGTTTTCCACTCCAGGTTACACTGACCACATATTTACCAAACTTGCTTGGATGGTATACGCAAGCATAAGTGCCATCACCATTGTTTTTGATATCAACCTTTTCTTCTCCAAGAGGGCCTTCAACAAACACATCAAGATCGCCATCACCAGCTCCTCGTGTATCAACTGTGAATGGAGCTCTGGAACCTGCTTTTAGTCCAGTAGGCTCAACACCTTCAAAAAGATTGCACTCATGATTAGACAAGATGTTTATTAACAAGTTGAAGGGTTTTCGTGGAAGTTTGAAATAAGTTCGATCATGAACTTGCCCAGTGTGCTTGCAGGGTTTCATTAAGTTTTGAATTAATAGAAAAACATTTAAGCTGGAGAACTTTGCCCAGTTACTGAACATTCTCTGATCTCCAACCCTTAATGAAACTCCTGTAGTTGAAAGAGGAAGTAATGGAACAATAAATGAAATTAAAGGTTTTTTAATCATTTCAAAAAGAATAAGAAAAGACATGGCAGCCATTTTGGTTGATTTACTAAAGAAATGGAGGCTTTGCAGCATCATGACTCCAGGCGGCTTGTCCCCGGGCGACTCAACTCTCGGGTGACTCAACTCTCGGGCGACTCAACTCTCGGGCGACTTAACTGTAATTCGATGGCAGCCATGACAGGAGGCATAAACAATTGAATCTGGTCTAATCTGATTTACATATACATGAGAAACAATTAAGTTTCTGACGGGACAAAGACTATTATTGTGCCTGCTGTCATGGCTGCCATCATGTCCACGATGGTGCAAAGCCTCTATTGAGAATACTCCAGTTTAGAGTTCTCTTTGCTCAGCCTTTAATAGTCTCATTTGTGCATTATAATATTCAGCTATTCAACCAAGACCCGTGGCATTTTAATTAACTCGTATTGTTCCATAGTACATACATTCCTCATTATACAATGGACCTCAATAATAGAAAAGAACACATTTGTACACAATCAAGGCCAAGACTGAGCAAAGGTGAACTCGAAATTGAAGTATTAATGGTAAAACAAGCAATAAAAGAGAGCAAACAAGCAAGCAAATAAGGACAAGAAAAAAGTGGCAATTTAGAGAAACGTTTGGGCAAAGGTATTATGCTATGAAATATGTCCTGCAGAAATATGCAAAAGTCAAAAACACARACCTGGGCCAAATACTTTGACTTTAGATGGTATAGGATCAATCTTTGGTGGGCTGACATTGACATGGAATGGACTTTGTTGAATGGGTTGACCTCCAAACATGACTTTAATGGTGTGTTTACCAGCATTTACAGGTTGATACTCGACCAGGTACTCATCATTTTCTTGTGGCTCAATTATAACATCAACATCTTCACCTCCTCGGGGGTCAATCACCTTCACTGTTACCTTGCCCTCGCCTGCGCCTTTTGTAAAAACAGTGAAGTCGGTGTATTTTCCTGCCACTACTCCTGTGGGTGCAAGACCTGGTCCTTTAGCATAAGCTTTACCAGCATCAAGATCAGATGATACTTCTACACGGAAAGGACTCTTGGGGATATGTCGGCCATTCCATTTCACATGTACATCATACTTTCCTATAAAAAGGTCATGAATAAATACAACATTACTGAAGGTTTGATTAACATTAAATGTGGGGCATTAGAATTATACCTATAGGAACTAGCAAATTTTGCTAGTTCCTATAGGTATAATTCTAATGCCCCAGATACAGGCTGAACAAGATTTAAGTAAACAAAGCACAGTGTTTTCCAATTTTAGACCATGTCTTTCCCTTGAGTATTATTCTATTTGTTTATCATCACATGATAAATGCTTTAGTCTGAAATGGGAAATCAGTGATTGAGTACATTGTTTGGTAGAACAATACCATTTTTGCCAAAGGGCACGACTATGATGCTACAAATTTAGATCTCAGTTGTTTTAATAATGTGTTTTTACAGCTGATATTCTTTAAACAACATACCTGGTTTCTGAGGAAGGTACTGGCAAGAATAAGTATGATCATCATTATCCTTAACTGACACTTCTTGATCAACTTTTCCAGGCCCAATAACAGTAACACCAAGTTTGCCACGACCAGCACCTTGAGTGAAGACAGTAAAGTCTGCTGGTTTCTTTACAACAAGACCCTTGGGCTCAATACCTGGTCCCTTGGCATAGCATTTAGAGGCTGGATGAACTCTTGGACGCAGAGGTGCGCCAGGTTTCAGTTTGGCCTCAGGGAAGTAGGAAACATACGTCATCATGCTAAGCTCATCAACCTTGGGGTTCACCATGTCTGCAGGATCCAGTACCTAAAAGGGTAAGACAAAGTTAATATCTGTCCATATAGATTTTCAAATCCTTCCTTCCCATACCTTTCAGAAGTAATAGATGCAAGGTGTGCAAAGTAACCACAATTTAAAATTGGGCCACTCTTATAAGATAAACTCGTATACCTATACATTCTCTATTTACAACACTCAACTTACATGCTGATTCTTAGGGGAGGGAGGGAAACTGGAGATCCCAGAGAAAACCCTTGCAGCTAGAACAACACATCAAACAAACCTGGACCCCTAGTGAGAGGGGAGCGGTAAACCACTACGCCATCCATGCCACCCAAGGKGATTAAATCTGACTCCCATTCTCTTTCTACTTCTGTAGATATGGTTCTGATATTTATACCATTTGATTACCTGTGGAATGTCAAGCCAGTCCTGGGCAAGCTTCATAGCTTGTTGAGCATTTTGAAGTGCATCTTTTGGATCCAAATCCTCACATTCTGGGATCAGTCCTGGAGCTATTGCGTCAACAAGGCAAGCAACAGCAATACCGTTATTCCAGTGAGTGGTGAAGTTATCCATAGGAACAGACTCTGGCATCTTACTCTTCACCCAAGCCAGAAGAGCCTGTTTTGGTGTCATTTTGTTCCTGCCTTCATCCTCGTCATCTTCATCATCCAGGTAAGGCATACTGATCTGGTATTTCAAGATAAGGGTCCATATTAACCCAAGAATAAGTTTCAGATTTCCCTTAACAATATCACTGGCATCTGTTGAACAATCAGACAAAAACTTGCATTAATAATAATATTTATTGAACAACAGTACATTCATTCATATATGTATGTTTACCRCCTATATTTATAATTTTGAGTGTAGATATAAGAGATTAGTCCCATATTTTTGAGTAGCTATTTACCTTGTATTTGTAATATTGGCTAATTTTTGACCTGCGTAAATTTTGGCAAAAACCATCTATTTTCGTAAACTCTAGATGTATAAAACATTACACTATCTCATCTTACCTAATACCCCACCAAATCTCACCTCTCACAACACATTTATTTATTATAATGTTGTAAGCTATAGTTTTAATGTACATTAATCTTAAAACAATTAAAGTCTTTGCCACACTTTATAATTTTTGTGCTAACTAACTCTAATAAGCCAGTTCGTAATTTAAGAATCGTTTTCAATAAACATGCGACTTTATCCCTTATTTCKCACCTTCTTTTGAGAAATTGGGGATAAAATTGCATGCACACTGGAAACGATTCTTAAGCTACTGTACCATCTGGCTTAATATAATGATACAATTTAATAAACACCACATGCACAGTAGTATAATTGATTATGCACAACATGAGCTAGAGACTTTGATATTATGTACTAGATAATAAATTCATTTCGTTTCTTTTAAGAAAAACTTTTATTTTTGAGGCACAATAGTTGTGGTGAGATCCAAGATGCTTGCAATTCATTAGTTCAATCAATTATTCAAAATATTTGTTTGGATTTTCTTTGGCTCTTGTGATAATCCCATTATTGGACCTTATCACACTTTTGTTTTGTCTGAAGCAAGTTAGAAGCATATCTAAAAAAGGCAAAATCTTAACAATTTTGATAATCAAAACATTATGCAGTACAAAGGTATATTGATACAAATATAGTGTGGCAGCTGCATGTATGTAGTAATATCACAAAAAAAGATGTATTCAAAATTTATCTACTTTGATCTCTAGTTTTTCCCCTTCTATAAAACCTAAGCTTAATTCTTATTTCATCAGTGAGTTAACTGTGCCCTGACTTTGATCAGCCCAGAGGTTGTTTCAGGGTAGCAATAGAATTCGATTGTATATACTCAGTTCAGTAACATAAGGTAAAATAACTGGACTTTCCCAAAACAAGTAATAACATTTGCATACTAAAAAAATGGTGATATTGTCATATCAGTGATACTAAGATTAGGCTTTATTATTAAAAATAAAAATTGAAAATCCCTCTTCAATATAGTCAAAAATGATAGAGAGAATACATAGAATGGAAGGAGTGGAATAAAACCCACAGTCCAGTTCTTAATCTATAAATATGTAGTTCTGATCTCCGTCCATAGTTGCTGTTGCTATGACCCTAATCCTAAGGACTAAGCTAAAATGAAATGATGATCTTTATACATAGTTGTGTTCAAATGAATACTATGACTCATTATGAGTCACCCACCAGCACTACATCCAACGTTACAAAGCATTACAGATTTTGAAATTCTGATTGCAGTAATTTTTATATTTATATTTTGAATTTGAGTTTCCAATGAAACATTTTAAAAATGTGTTGATATGTAAATATCTATTATATGATTTTTTTGTATTTCATGACCAACACACAGCTTTAGGTTCATACCTAAGTTCATACCTAAGCTAGGATAAACACAAGTCTTTAATTAATGAAACATTAACAGTATACTGAACCAAAGTATAGTCTTATTCTCAGTTAAATTAAAGAAAAATAGAGTATATGTTAATTATTATTAAAAGCATAATCTTGTCATAGTATTTTCAACTCGATATTTTCCCGTAAGACATAGCACACATCCCAACAATTCCCTTATTACATAAACACCTATGGAATGTAGATTAATAATCATAGTCACATTTAACAATATAAATATGCATCACATCTGTTTGATACAGTTTTGATTGATTCAGTTCCCTGCTAGAGCTAGAAGTACTAGTGATTGTCACGACCTTAAATGGTTTGATCTGTGCTTAACTTTCAAACAATAGAACCTCAACAAGGATCTTAAAATCCCAAGGGTCATTATGTTTTGAAGGGCAAATATTTTGAATAATTGCACATATAATTATGAGCAAACTGTCACTTGATAGATTTATTTCCAGTATCTTTCTTCTACCGACAATGAGGCAAAACTCTTTAAAAATAGCAAAACTAAACGTATTTAAATTTAAGTGAAGCAAGTAAGCTTTAGTGTACTACTGTAATTTGGTGTGTGACAGCATCAGGCCAGGGTCTTAAAAGGAGTGCCCATATTTCCAAAGACCGACTTTTAATATTCCCGTGAGATTAATCACCACATGGTCAAAGTCATTTTTAACCATGACCAATATTAGTATGGCTTTGTTTTTGTCTCTAGATTTTTCGTACAATCGCTGAAATCAGTGCAATTACCAAACCATTTAATTTTATCCATGGAAGAAAAGCCAAACAAACAATACTTCTTATACAATAGTAACATTCCTAACATCTTATTTTCACRCTAAGCAAAATCCTAGAATTTTAAGGCTGGTAGTTTCTTGATTTTCCTAGCCCATCTTTCTATCTAATAATAATTCTAGCATAAAAATGTTTATGCATACGTTTACTTATGAAAATAAATATTTCGTGACTAGTAATCATCAATTTTTGTCAAAGAAAACATTGATTGAAAAATATATCCAATTTCCAATTATTTGTCAAAAGAGAACCAATTTTTTCTTCAGCAAAAAACTTTGTATTTTCCAGCAGAAAAATTGTTTTTGTGTTCAATAAAATCTTTATTCTGCATATGAAAATTAATAGTCTTCTCTACATATTTTGAATAAATTAATTCTTTCAATTACTAAAACATTAAAGATATGAACGAGACAATAGAAAAATAATGAAAAACTAACCAGAGTACTGTTAATTTAGATTTTCTYCGAGTTTGACTATAGTGATGGATAGCAGGGAATCGATCAGGAATCCAAATTACTTGGTGTTCAATAGAAAAATAGTAATTATRTGAATGAATGTTTAGACTTCATCTCATATGTCGGGCTGTCAGGGCGACCGTTTGCTCTTTTACTTATTAAGCATGTATTTACAACTGTCTTGGAAGCCATTTCACTGCACTTGAAAAACATAGTCGCTCGCTGTTTATCACTTGAAATACCATTCAAGTGCATTTTTTTTCTTAATTTGGAAAGAGTGTTTGAGTTGGAGTCTTTTCCCTTATATATCCTAAAGAGTAAAAATTTCTGTTTCTAAGTAATTAAAACACCAAAGAATTTACGCACCAAGATATTGTGGGAATTGTACATGTACAAAATTAGAACTCATGAAAAGGAAATAATGTTAAACAAAGGCTGGTAGATAACAGCCAAATACTATTCACTTTGTCACCCATCATTTATTGAGAACAAACAACGCTAAAATGTAGAGCCAAGGGATCGATACTAAATCAATTATTACAAAYTCCTTCTATAAAGAAACCTCTTTAACTAATTATTATCGTATGTAGTTTTATTCATTTCAAGCTTCCAATAATGGAGAATGAGTTTTATACAGCGATCATTACTGAATCTTAAGACGTTCTACGATTGCACGACTTGAGAGTCGTCTATCTCTCGCTGTCGAAGTGGCCGTGAGCTCATGATCAGGTTAACGCCCCAACCATTACYTTAAAACATTCTCGACTAGATTTCACACTTCTAACCACAACTCTCTCTCTCTCAAGATGCTCTGACTGTGAAAGATGCACAGTCTCTCTTGAACTTTCATTGATCGAATAACAAGTAGTTTCTCTGTTGCAAGTAAACMTATGGAAGTTTAGGGACGCCGTATGAGAACACGATATGCCTAAATATGGAAATGCGTGCACCAAATGGAACTCTAGATTAGAAGTTCTTTGTAAGGCGCTACTGTTARATCAAACGAGGTATCTATCAAAAACGTCGCTCGTGTCCATTCGAACAAGCACTTATCGATGGTCGGTGGATTTGCAATTAAAATCTAGAGCCGTATTTTGGTAGTACATGAATATCTRGAGCGAACACCATTCGAACAGAATAACAAACTCTCTCTTAAACGGAGAAAACAGATATTAAATTACACTTGCAAAAGCATATTTATCATAATTTTCCCTTTTATCTCTTGAACTYAATTCCAAATTTTGACCCGAAAAGTTTTAAGTAATAAATTAACGCCTGCATGGACGTAGAGAGCATAACTTACCGATGCTAACCAGTCGAATATTCTCGTCTTCAATGAATTTCAGGGCGATAGATACATTCTCAATCTTTTGGGATTTAAACACCGGCTTCTTGTTGTGCCTTGGTAGTTTTTTGTGCGAGAGAACTTGAAGTAGAGCTATAAGTTTAAGCCCATCGCATAAGTCGGTTTCCAAGCTATAGATGTAAAGATTCATGCATTTTAGATGCTCGTTACACCAACGCGTGAATGTGTTTTGCTGTATTTTCTTCCACTCGGCATCAGCCGCAGTTGGATCAGAATCGGGCATTTCAAAATCCTGCAGAGAAAAAAGAAGTTACTACAGAGAACCTAGAACTTTATGCCTAAACTCAGGCAAAACTCCGCAAACTTAGACTGAATCCACCTACTTATATATCTCACAACTTTGCGGCCACTAAGCAAACATAAATTGTGTAAATAGGCCCTCGAGAGAGAAACTTCGAGCCAATCAATGGCASAATGAATTATTCATGTTTACAAAGTATACACGGTTGAACGGACGGCTAGTCAAAATTTTAGATATATAGTGTAAGATTCTCTTACATCCATTCTGTTGGGGTCCATCCTGTTGTTCTCAGCAGGAAAATATACCACCGTTCTTCTTTTTAGTCCAGTATTTTGTTCAACACCTCAGGCCGGCGAGCGAAGCAACCCTTCGAACTTCACTCTTTCGGCAAGGCAGGGAATAGCGGGCCTAGCGTAGTGACGAGAAGAGACTCTGCCTCGGTACTATAACCTTTTTAATCTTACCAAAAAATACCATTTAAGCCAATTGGAAGGCTGGAAAGAGGAATTCTGAAGCGGGTGGGCTTGTCGGAATTCTATATGGCGACCTCTGAGATACATCAGATCAACTTTCACGTCAAAATATTGTACGCAAAAAACTAGAGATACCCGCAAATCCGGTGTCACGCAACGTTTTTCGTTCTCACCTTTTTCCCATTTTCACTGTGATGTGGAGATATACCACGAATTCTGTTTTGACTTTCCGTTCCCTGAAACTACAAACAATAAGATTCTTGTGATTTATTAAAATYTGAGTGAATTAAGAATAAAATAGAGAGCTTTTCCCCCGAATGTTACACGTCCGTGACATTCTGTTAATTTCAACCTTTTATTACGCGCAAAGGGATACATTTTCAWCGTGAATGCGCTACTCCTGAAACGATTCAAACAAGCAGACACTAAAATAAAACCAGGAATCAAGCAACTACCATGCGCAGAGTAGATAAGTTATGTTTTTTCATGGAAAAGATGATAAAGCTGCCTTAAGCAAGGAACAGACCTATGAAGATTCTGGTATTATTGCGCGTTGTGTTACTGCATTAAAACACCCACAAAATACAAACAAGTGGCGGAATTTTTTTGTTCTATACTAAAGTGAGATTTTGCAACACCGTTTAGTGACGCATTAAAATAGTTGTATTTGAGTGAAATTCAATCATGTTTATGAGAAGCTTGTTAGAACAATTTCGGTGAATTTTTCGTGGGTATGACAGTAATGAAAAGGGTGCAGTATAGTCAGTGGYCTTAGCAGGTTGAATGATCAGTGGTTGTGCAGCTCCATCATATGGTAGGATCTTTACTAWCATCAAACGCATGCTCTTTTTTTCACTCTTGATTATTCGCGTGCATTTGCGCAGCGGCTCAGTGCACGTCAAACAAATCCTATTCTCAACCTTATGTTTTTAATTTGCTACTTCCACGTATGGAAGGACGGAAGCATTTGGCAGGCKAGAACAGGGTTCCCCCGTCGCGATTTAGTATTCAAATATTTTTTGTAAAACTGACTCGTGCTTAACAATGCATAATGCATTCAAACGTTTCCTGACATTCATTCTTTTGTAGGAGRGGGGGACTGTCCAAGACAAATGCCTACTTATCCGGTCAACCATACTTTCGCTAACAACTACACTCAAGTTTTCGGCACTCACAATAAAACCATAGTTAATAGAGGGGAATCATTCAATGATCCATTGGAACGCGGCATTGAAGAGAGATACCACCCGAAAGCAGCTCAGAGAAGCTCCCTATATATTGAGCAATATTGCTATTATAGACAGTATTAATAATACAATTCTTCTTTCCAGAGAAATAGGTGTTACATCAATTGTATTTTTCACAATTATGTGTTCGAAAAAAATGTGTGATGATTACGTTAGCGGATATTTTTTTGCTATCCACCCAAAAAGAAATCAAAAACAAAGAATGTGCTAGAAAGGATCTATTTGAAGAGAATATTCCAGGCAATTCGCGCCTTAAAAAAATCCCAGAAATAGAAAATCTGTTGTTATGACTGAAAAAATGTCATTAAACGATAGCCTTTTATTGATTAGAGCAAAGTGCTCCCCACTTAACTAGAGTCATTTTGTCTGTGCGTAAAATAAAAACTGGGAAAAGTAGGAGTGAAAAAGATTCTAAGCTGCGATGGAAATGAGTGGCAGATTTGATTAATTTGCTACTTAAACATTATGAAAAAGGTTCGGTATATCCTAAGATTGCATTGCGCATTTTGAAGTTTCGTACAAAAATGACTCTATATTTTACCATTATTACAAATTGCAGGTAATGATAGGGGAAAATTCATAGCCGGTTTTAGCTCAGCGTCTGGCAACCCTTCTCCCTCCAGCATGTAAAAAGTAAGTAAAGTTGAAATGATAAATTGATAAGGATGATAGTTGCTAGGCTATTAAAAGCGAATCTCTCAGTCAACTTCTTGAGAGAAATAAATTATTCTTTTGAACGAAATAATAGACAGCTTTATTATTCCGTCAATTTACGCAAATCATACATGTCAATCTTGCGCGGGTTTTGCGTTATTTTCTCTATTTCTTATTGAGTGCTAGTATACGGACCTGTAACGCGACAGTAACGTCATTTATAAACGTAATTGATACCATCCCCGTCTATTTTTAAGCCCAATAATTATTTTGATACCAATATTGACTGACAGAAAGCAAATTCCTGTTATTTGAAAAAGATACTTTGATATGATAACAATTGTTGACATTAGTAACGATTACCGACAGCTAAGTTGTTGTGTCTTTCAATGCATAGAGAGCTGAGCACTTTTAGCTAACACTCACTGCGCATGCTCTGATCTGATAAATAATCCTTAAAAAATATTTTGTTTTCATTAGAAATTTGATAATAAAGAACCTTATCCCATTCACATAGACTTTTCTAGACATTTAAGCCATCTTTAGAAACGTTTTATTTTTTTGTTGATATTGTATTTTTAAGCAATTGACCATCCATGACTTACCTTCCTATATCCACTATTTTTGTTGTTGTTGTTGTCTTGTTTCAAGAGTGCGGGTCTCATTTTCATTATGTTTTTCCCCAAACCTTTCCCTGCCCTATCCACWAATATTTGATCCCACAAAAATGGAAGGGAAAGTTGCGCACGTTTCCCCCCTGCCCTATCCATAAATCACAAATCTGATCGAATTGCAGTGGAAAGGTTTTTACATTTTTTCTTTTCATGCCCTATCCACGAATACGTGATTCCATGAAATTGCAATGGCAAAGTTAAGTACATTTATTTCAATTTCGCCGTTTTTTAAAACCACAACTAATTTGATTACCGACTGACTTGACTCAATTGATCCTTGGCGGCTAGAAAAGACAAAACAAGTCGATTGAAAACTATTGGACCTTCAAAAAAAAATCTTTATCATTCGTTGCCCTTCAATATCTAATAACTAGAATGTTCGAGAGACTAGATGTACAGATTTCAAGAGCATTTAACGCCTATAAACAGAGTTAAGCCGGTAAGGCCAGGATGAGAAGTCTCATTATGACTCATCCCCTGTGGGGGCATACTTGTAAACAATTACGATTCCTGGCTGCGCATCCATGTTTGATATTGTGATTGCTCTAACTAGGCGTCTACCGAGTTCTATGCATTTTATAAATAATCCGTCCGGTACGTGACGTTCTAAGAAAAGRTATTCAGATGAGATTCCGAGTCACGCCACACGATGTTGCGTCAGTGTGCAGCGTTCTAGAACGTTCGAACAGGAGGTCATGGAATTTTGTTTCGCAAGCAGGCTTCCTATCGCTTTGATGAACAATCATGACTGAAAATCATTGGGTGGATCGTTCAATTAATTAACATTAAATTGATTAAACGTAGGTTCACTTTAACACAGAACTGGAACTGGATGGATTAGTTACTCCATATATGGAGCTCAGTCCTGTGCTTTGATAGTGAAAGATAGTCTAGATTGAAGGTCATACCGGTCTACTAGTAATATTGATTGATAATTTTTACAGAGTTAAATTAATTAAATTAGGTGATTTATGTACTTGGCTCACTTTAACAAAGAGCTCCAAAACGTAAGGTAGCTAGACAGTCAAACCGGTTTTAGGGTTTGTTAGAATTTTCGCAATACCGGTTACATCTTACTCCTAATGAAGTTGGCAGTTTTGACTTTAATTGCATATTTTCAGGTAGACGTAAAAATAACAACTTCATGACAACTTGCATTAATTTTTATTTTTTGCTACAAGTAATGCATAGAACATGGGATATGTTTGGTATAGATATTGCAAGGTACTAAAAACKTTCGAAAAATTTTTGGTATTTTTGAAGGGGCTTAAAGTTTTCTTGGTTTCTTTGTTTAATACGATAGTTCTCGTTGTCTTGCGAGGGATTATATAATCCATTTGCACCCCATAACATACCTTAAGAATCCTACCACCCTCCTACTCTAGTCAAATCTCAACATTAGACGAGGATCCGTATAAACATAAAGATACTTAGGAATCAAACCAATATCGTCTACACCAAACATTGAAAACAAGCCTCAAGTCAAATCTAGTAAGCATTAGAAGAAGTTTTATAACATGCTGTTGAAATCACCCATCCATTACTTTACAGTATTGGTAACAAAAGGCTCGATCATCTCTCAATGAAAAGCTAGTCTTTGCGCCTTTGTTCTTTAAATCTCAAAGGGAAAAGATGGCAGCCAGTGAATCGCATCTAATCTACTTGTGAGAAAATCCATGGTGATAATCATGTAAGAAAAACTGTCTAAATGAGGTGCATGCCTTCACACGAYCATTGATTGATTCACTGCATCAGTGAAGCATCTTTATCGCTTCATAGAAACCGCATGGATTCCAGACACTCTGTCTGATGCATTACCAATCCGTAGTACTGAATATCAGATATTTGTATGAGGTGATCATCGTAGAGGTGTAGATTGTGGTCCGGTAGAAATCAAATATTAATGTTAAGTATAAATGAAAGGCCAGTTTTTTTCTTCAGAACCATTCCCCTCCCCCCTTGATTATTGTTTTTCAATGACCAAAGACTTTTTTCCTTTTCGACCATAGAWACTTTTGCCGGAGTCTTTCCATTGATTTTTAACGACTACTGGTAAACTGCGCATCTGGAGGCACATCTATTCCTCAAAAAACCTATTTTGTCGCGACGAAATATCGTACAATTTCGCCCGCGCTATTCTTATACGACTTTAAGGATTGTAATGTTTTTAAGTTGTTGCCAGTTTAGGACTTCTCCTTATTGGTTAGGTACCCTCCTTGCAGGGGTCTTTTTCCGCCCTTCGTTCTTGGTTTAGGTCGATCAACTTGCTACTCAGCCATAAACAACCTCTGCTCCCAGGGTATTGGTTAAGCAATGTGCACTTTTATTGCATGGCTTGTGATGATGTGTATGGTTGGGTGTCAAGATTTGTTTTTTGTTATACCATGTGTTATTTTTATTGGAATGATGTGCTTTCATTTACTGCTTGTGTTGCAAACTAAGGATAACAAGCTTGACGTTTACTAATGGCTAATTACTTTACGGTGGCCTATAAGGGATATGCAGCAAGTTAGACTAGTTGCTACAAACAAGAAGGGAGTTGCTGCATTTTAGACAAGTTTCTGCATATCAGAAAACGAGTTGCCGCAGGTCAAACGATAAGCGCTGCGCGCGCAGTTGCCAGATTAGGACTGAATTCTAGAGAAGCTTAGTTTTAAATTTTTCTCAACTAAACATACTCTAATCGATGTAAAGTATCCTATCTTGGTAGAAAAACTTCTCAGCCTAATAAATAGATTTCAATTTGATATTTTAGGTATCCTGCTTGCAGGGTCTTTTTCCGTCCTCCGTTTCAGGTTTAGGTTGATTGTTTGAAACAGAATAGGAGCAACTCTCTTCGTACAGAAAAATTGGTCATCATTACAGAATGCCGGGTACGGATCAAATGCCCTTCAGTTTTTCATTTTCAGTTTTTAGTTTTTAATTTTYAAAGAATTCACAACTAAAGCGGATCGTAATTGATTGAAAGTTAAGGGAAAAAAATTTGCAAAGAAATTAAGTAGGCATAAATTTCAGGTCACCCATCCAGGTACTAACTTCGCTCAACCGGAYTTGACTTCGCGTCATGATATGGAAGCCYAAGTTTTTTCCACTGGACCACGGTTCAAGGTAAATCAGCATAACAATAGCCGTGAAAACAATGCACCGAATAGACTATACTTTTTAACATCAATTTATCAACCGATTCCGTGCGTGGCAGAGATGCAAGGGATTAGCTGATATGGTCTGGGGGCCGGCTGGTCTCTCCCCTGATGCTTCGGCTAGAACATTTTCTTGCGTAATTCGTACAACCCAAGGGCAGAAGGATTTAATCGCCGTCAGGTCCGAAGTCCATACGCCGCCTCAGCTCTGCGGATGTCTCGGGGGTATGGCAAAGTGGAGTCGATTTTTTTAAAAATTTCCGTAGGAGAGTTCGAATCCCATCGTATTCAGATAAGAATTTTTATTTTTTTAATGCATATTATTATTATTATTAATTTATTAATTTTTTTTAGAAACAGTCACTTTTTAGAAAGAGTGACTACCCAATTCCTTTTTGCTCGTATTCACTAAAATTAACAGTTTTAGTAAGCAATCTCGATCGGAAAAAACGAGCGTATTTCCTAATTTGAAATGCCTCCTGAAAACAGTTTCCTGACAAGAGCTTTTCYTCCACTTGGTTTCTATTCTCGGTATTTTCTTTCTTTTTATATTGTTATAATCTCTGTTTATATGATATTATTGCGACTACTGTATGTCTACCCAAAGTGGCCAGCTTTTCCCAGTCCCCGCGCACAACTACAAAATATCCAATCCACCCCTCATTTCTGTTCAGAGCTATCATGACTTTCGAGAAAAAAGAGCGCTGCAATATTTAAAGATAAAAACTTGAAATTTGATTGCAGAACTCAACTAACAGGCAGCAACTAGTTYCGCCTCGTCTAACTTGCTGCATGTCCCTTATAGGCCACCGTAAGTTTTCACCACGAAACAAGCGTGAGTGCAAGCGCAAAAAAATGTGCAACAATTCACATATACTGTTGGCGGTTATCGCGTAACTTGCTAGTAAGTGTCATTTGTTGCTAAGTCAGCAAATCATTAAATAGGTACTTCCTTAAAGCATGTTTTTTTTGTTGAATTTTTAAGAGTCTTACCTCTGATATGTAATGTTTATACGTCTGCGAATCCACCTGCTCTTGTCTACCTTTTCTCCATTCTTCTTGCCTTTCCGTGCCAACATACTGCACATTATTACTCCTTCGACCATTTCCATCTACATCCTTCCAGCTCTGTGCGCGCATCAAAGTGTTTTCAGTTTCTGGAGATATTTGTCTCTCTCTTCCATTTAGGGCCCTCTCAGACTTACTTCTCAACAGGCGTCGCTCTTCGACCCCTTCTACGGCTTCTCTTTGCCCTGTTTCCCATTTCTCGACAGACTTCAGCACGTTGCCTCCACTAGTATAGCTGCGTCCTAGACGTCCGAGCTTTGCAGGTTTAGCTCGTGGCGCAGCTACGAACCCATAATCCTGATCTTCATCATCATGGAATGAAGTTAGACTTTTTGATCTCCTTGGCGTCCTGAAGGGACTTCTGTCTGTGGACTCAAGTATATCGGAACCAATTCCTTGACTTAACAAGTCATTTCCCAGTTCATCGAACGTGAAACTGTGCGTTCTTTTACTCCCATCCAAACTTTCAAACTCGTCAAAATCAATTAGTCTTTGTTCATCACCCTTTGGTAATCTATCCAGGTTCTCAGTACTTCTTGTGATTCTAGTGTACGTGGTCGTATACTCATCTACAGTCGTATAAGGCATGTTGCTATCTATTGATCTAGGATCTGTAGCGTACACAGGGCTATGGGGCCCGCTTCTTTCGAAACTGCTTGTCCTAGTAAATGGCGGGTGCTGCCTTTCTGCTACGATTACGTTGTCTTCTTGATTAAAGTTGAATGTTGTAGGTCGAGGAATTTGCTCGGTAAATCCTGATGTCAGGAAAACGTAGTCACCGTCTTCCTGATTGTTGGTTGTATATGTTCTTCTGGATGCCATTCTCTTAAAGGAAAAAAGTTGATGTTATCCTATACACTTCACTTTTAATGCAGAAAGCGTGTATTTTCACGCAAAAAATGGTAGAAAAACAACGTTGATGTTTTAAATATTTCTGCTGCGTCCCGCAATTCACTGTACGTGTGCTATGAAAGGCTAACAAAATATTGAGGCCCCAAGAGATACTTAGGGCTCGAGCATAAAAATTCTTAACCTTGCTGTTCAATATTGCACCAGTGCGCACGGTACATTTTCCCCCGACTTTCCTCCCATTAACTTTAAATAGTATACTGAAACTGAAATGCGTTAGATTCCATAGTATAACAATGCATGCGATCAGTCTTCTTGAATCATAATGCTTAAACACGTGCGCAAAACAACACATAAACGTGCGCATTGCAATCACCSARTGCGGTTTGCGCGCCAAATCCATTAACGCATGCGCGTCAACAAGAACTCAAGGTACTAGAAAAGTACATCATCTTCGARCAAAAGGCACCTGCAAAACCTCTCTTGACTATGTGCGCTTTAGAATATAGATCTAAATGGAAATCAGTTGGCAAGTGCACTTGCAAGTGATGCTTAGTCAGTGTTCCGCTTATAACTCTTGTAACCTTAAGTAGTAAGTTTAGTCAAGTGCGCAGGTGATTCAGTTTTGTTAGCATTTTCATGTATTCTTGACAACTGTAATGCGAGACTTCTTTAGTGAGGCACTGCGTCTTTACGTTAGCTAAATAACCGCATCTTTTTTCGTTTAAGATTTGCTTYCCGTTTCTTTGAGTAGGTCTGTCATTATTAAACCTTGCTATAAACATCGATATAAATCATGCAGTGAATGAGGCTTTGGAGCTTGTTTGAGCGCGCAATAAGATTTAGTACGAAAAACACCCGTGAAGTTTGTGATCCAAGTGAATCGGAAAAACGAAAGACATGGAAAACTTTTGGTTAATCCTTCGTTAAATTAATCCAACATATCGGATATGAAAACTAGTGAATATCAGTATAGGTGCAGGCAGGACACTGGTATTGGCAAGTGGCCATGTGCCTTAGATAATAAGAGAATAACGTTTTGGCCACCAACTGGCAATGAAAGTCAAAACATACTATATAAAAGCACCAGAACTTTCCAATTGAACTTTCCAACTAAATGACTTGAAAATAAACAAAATGAAACGTAATGAAGATTGATTATGACTCAAGCATCAAAAACGTTTAGACAGAATTATGCGAGGATTTGAAATATTAGTACTAAGCAATTAGATATTACGGAATTTGAGTCCTGAGATATATAAACAACAACGCGCGCAGTTTAATTCTTTCCTCTATCAACAACTCATTACTCAAAACAACAGTAAACAACRAACTAATTGAAGTTTACACTACTGGTTGTTAGAAATTAATGYTTTATACGATATATTTTTTCTTGTTATACTGATTGATAGCCCGTAATTTGTCTTRTGTACTTTTAATAGACTTTTCTCCGGCGTAAATTATAAAAAACTATACTTTAAAATCGGATATTTTATCCCACTTGTTGTTAATAATTAATGTTTTATACAATATATTTGTCTGGTGATAAGTGAAGAACCATAAATTATCTGTTTTACCGATAACTAATAAACCTTTTATATTATAAAAAGCTGTAAGAAGGAAAAAATTACATAGGTTGTCAGATCTCATTAGGGTTTTGTTTACAGCACTGCAGGTGCACGWTTCAGTGTCCGGATAAACAGTAATAAGTTAAGAGTAGTGGGAAACAAACAGAGCAGTTGAAGTCGTATCTTAACCATCCGTACCGTAATACTGAATGTAAGAATCTGCGCAGGATGCTCCAGACAGTTCATGTTCTCTTTGAATTCCACCGCCCTGTTAAAGTATTTATGATTTATACACTGTTTTTGTTATATATTAAACAAAGCTGGTTCTTCAAGATATTAACTCAAAGAATTGAAATTCGTCGCAAAAAAAAAAAAAGGCATAACACAAAACGTAATACTCGGAACTAGGGCTCGAATGCATTCATTCATTCATCCATTTYCCACATTTCTATAACTCTGTTTGCATAAGGAGAAAAATCGCGAAAGCACGCGCACTAATCATGATAAATATATTGGGGTAAAGCTTATGCAAAAACTGATGAATTACAAAACACGATGCTTGGAGTAGTTGGTTTTTGAGTCTAATAGCTTTTTTACCTATCGAAACTCTATAAGTTCATTTCTGTGCGTCTCACTAGGCCTTCTTAGTCATACCAAGCGGAAGCGCCGATAAAATCTTGTAACAGCGTGCGTTGATTATTTTATGAACTACAGAGTACTATTTATTCCTTTTGTGATGAAGTAAAGCCCTACAACCTTTCTAGATTTGTGCCTTTATTCGATTCCTTACGCCGAGAATGGTTCAAAATTTTCCAGATTTGTGCGCAGTCACCATTCAACAACGCTAAGAATGCGGCAAAGTTTTAGCCAGAGCTAAATGAAAAACGATAATGTAAAATGCTTTATTCAAGAAGTATCCATCTATACTTACATGAAATTAGGCTTGAAACTTGCAGCGGAATCAAATCGCAATCCAAATCTAGTTCATCTCTTCGTTTTTCGAATTTTTCCCTAAAGAATTCGTGCCGCCCTTCAAATGAAGCGTTTTGTACACAAAGTGACGCTACGATGCAAAAACACGTTTATTTTTGCTCGTGACAGCACACGGTATAGTCTCTGAGACATGGCTTATTATTTGTAAACTGCGCTGTGATTGGATGATTCTTCCCGGTCACCTGTGCGAGTGTTTTCGATGCAGTTTTTTTCGTGACTTTTGGTATCCCATAGCAACGTTGTCACTCATATATTCGTTTRCATTCATTTTATAGAAAAATATTATTTTCTACAAAACGATTTTTCGATTTTTTCTAGAAAGTGAGTAAAAAGGGGAAAACAATAGGAGAAAGTATGAATTGAAAAGTTATGCTGGAATCATGTCTTCTTTTGGGGTTTAGTAGTGCGATTTGTTTAAATTATTTCTATAATAATTTTCATAATATTTTTCTTTGACAAAACTAAGATTTTAAAGTAAACCAATTTTCATTTTTTAGCATATTGTTCCCCTCGCGTCTAGATTTGCACATATAACGTTTGCCATCAAAAGATCATGATGGTKGAGATTGGATTAGATTTCACATAAATGTATAGTTGAAAAGTTATCGGTTGATAAATCATATYGTTTATTTGTGTTTGAATTCTCTATATTTGAGATGGATTTACTTGTAAGAAAAGATGGCTTAAATGGACTTGGATTATCTTTGGGATTACACCTAAAATAGCGATCTAGCCCGCGACACTCACGTCATGCAAGGATTATATTGTAATGTTTTAAATGTTRCTTCTGCTTTATAATGAACAAAATTGTTATCGTTATTCATCATCGCAAATACAGCAGTGTCGCAGCTCAGCGGGGTCGTAGTGAAAGCATGAGTCATGCCGATGACAAGGCCAAAAGGCAGTTGCTGTTTACATATTATAAACGTCTAATGTCAGTGAATTTTTACGAGTCAAAGCAACAGATACTGACAAAGACGAGGAACAATAATATGCATATTTCATAAATATACGAAATTCCTTTGTGGAGAAATAGGAAATACGAAAAATACGAAATGTATCTTCTTCCTTTGCGAAAGGGAAAAGAAAAAAAAAAGAAGAAAGGAGAGGAGAGGAAGGAAAAAGAAAAAGAAATGAAAATGATTTCGTTAGGAAAATAAGAAAAGCGAGAAGAGATACGAGGAAGAGAGATGGAAGAAAAGGAAAAATCAACTGAAATGAAAGACTATAAAAATGATAATGATAAATATGATAATAATGGRATTAACAGTGGTTCTTCTTCCACTGGATCCCAATTGGAATTTAGGAGTTGATTTTTGCGGAGGGAGGGAAACCGCGGAGAACCTGGAAAATCCTCGAAGCACAGGAGAGAACCAACAAACCGTCTCAACTCACATACGACAGCGAGCTAAAAGACAAAAAGAGTAAAGGAAAAAGGGAATGGAAAAGAAAATGAGAAAAGAAAGAAAGCTGACCTCATCGAGGATAGAAAAATAAGAATAAGAAATTAGGGAGAAATGAGAGAGAAAGGAAAAAGGGAGCAAGAAAGCTGACAATAGAAGGCTGGATAAAGACGAGAAGAGTAGAAACAAGTAATTAATGATAAACATACCCAGYCTAATATCTTCTTGATCTTCTTGATCCCGAGTCCTTAACCTTAAATTATAGATATTTATATTGTTGYATTTCTAAAGTTCAACCTGGAGGTTATTTTTTATCATCACAAGTCGATTGTCTACGCATCGTCAGACAGTATGTTGCCACATGCAGAAACACCCCGGGCARTTACTTACTATAAACTAAGAATTCAATTCCTTGATAATTAAAGTAACTTTTAGAGTCTTTGTTTGWTATCACACACTAATCATCATAGCTGGCCCATAAAACAGCAATACTGAAATAAGGCACTCGCTGCCGCTAGAAAGAGTTTGATTTCGATTTGCAAATATCATTATGATTAACTGTCCATTGTTTTCAGGAATCACAGTTACACATGTATGATCTAGTTTAGAGTCTAGTGTTCATAGTGTTGCCTACCACGCTGTGGCATTAGATGGTCTACTCTACTATGAAATAGCAATAAGAAGAGATAACTAGCTAAAAACTAGTGTSAGCTGCGTCGGTGTTTCTAATGAAACAGTAATGATAAAAGAGTAAATTTTACACCGTGAAAAGATCCTTGGTCGGAGTAAAAGAGCAATATCAATAGAAATAGCAATAACTAGTACTGGGCACTCGGTAGCAAAAGATCACGGTATTGATTGCAGCGTGGAATGCAAGTATCTTTACGATAGATTCATAGTACAATGTTAGTAAATTATTGTACCTTGTCATACCCTGAAATGAGCCTTATTAAACTCTTAACAAGTGAGTTTATTCGTATGGGACGGCACCCCCTCCCCCCCAAAAAGAAAAAGCTTTAGCTGAAGCACTTAGCTTTAATCCTAATTTTTCTCATTGGATTATTTTTTCATTCCTAAACGACCATTGGGCTTGTCACTCAGGGCATGGGTGACGGCACGGAATGAATTATTTGCAATATGACTGACTTGCTCAAGGTTGTATATGGCAATCAAAAACACAAACACAGAGAAACTTGATGAAGCCAGTGGATGACAAAAGGTTTTTACTGGATGACTGATGGATTCTGGGTGGAATACACCAGTCTTTTGCTAGATTACGCACCCATGCAACACACAGACATTGACAGACCACTTGAAGAAGCCAGTGGATGAGAATCAGTGAACAGTTTTCAAAAACCTATGACAGAAATAGAGGATATTACATGGGCGCGCGGAGATACGAAATTTATCTTCGAGTGTTGAAAAGATTTTCAGCACGAGAAGATAACTTTCGTATCTCCAAGCGCCCACGTAATATTCTGTTTATTATTATATTTATCCATAAAATCAAGTTAACAAGCTTTTTATTATTATAAAAAGTTTTTATTTATAAACTAATAGCTTAAATACACATGGAAACGATATTTTCACATGTGAAAATAACATGTTATTTTCACATGTAAAAATATCAGTTTTTCGAAAAGGAGAAGTATAGATATTTTATGGATAATTATATAATAAACAAAAATAATTCATATCTCGAGGTTCCATTTTTGCTTTAATATTTGCTACGAAATTGTCTTCCGTCCGGTCAGTTTTGAAATGCTTTAATATTGAGAGGGGAAAAAAAGGTATATCGTGCGCCCCTTACGCGACAATCATTGCCACTTAATCGATTTTCTCGTAAACAAAARATTTCTCATTTCCTGCTTATATTGATAGTGATGATACTGCGCATTTATATTCGATTCTGTTGAAAAGGAAAGTGTGTTTAAAACCATCTTTTAACACATTCCAATCAATATTGTAAGGTACACCAACTGAAAATGATATGTCAGTTGACCTGTACCATTCTCGGCTAAAATACTTTACATAGTGCATTATTACTAACAGCGATCTTTATCACTCAGACCTTTCGGTCAAGGACGTGYATAATATATAACATATTCTGTGGTAAGTGATTCCCGGAACAATCATTGTGAGAGTCTGCATATGCAATATGATGAAAGACTGTGATTATAATTGACTATGATGCCATCTTCAGTGGCCGTACTTGGTACTTGCTTATTCTATACTGACCACCATGGCTTGCCAAACCCCCCAACAAACATCGTAAATCTAGCGTTCCAGATCTCTCTCGCTCCAGTGCTRTACACCAAATCTACGACCGAGAAAGCACTAGAGGGAGAGAGYATTGGAACCCATTGTAGCTAGGGTTCTACCTGGGATCCTGCTCCAAGGCCCAGGGGGCAAACGTCGGTGTAAGTATCGGATATGCTCGTAGAAAATTTTCAAAAATACCCATAAAAATAACGGAATCACCTTAAAAAGGGCGATGGTTGGACAATTTTTAGCCCTTAGAGATACGTTACAAGACACCAAGAATTACCGAAATTCTAAATTTCAATTTTAACACCCTAAAAGATACGAMATCGCTGATCAGTTTTACCCCTAGAGATACGACTAGCATACCCGATATTTTCACCCCGGAGTCCCCCCCGGTACCCGGGCTCCGAGGTTAATTGGATGTATTTTATCAGGCCAGCCAAGTCAAGATTCGACTAGCCGTCCAGATACATTTATACCGGAGTCCTCCCCCCTTGGGCTCCATGGTTAATTGGATCTATTTTATTATTACAGCCAAATAATGTTGGTGTTATCCCATGTCATAAGCCAGTCTGCATGGTACTTCCTGTTCCCACCAGTAATCATGATCAATCTGGCGCCTCAACAGTCCACTAATTACCATCTAGTTTTATCGGCACCTTCAGTTTCTGTATAGCGTAATAGCTTTTTCGGAGTTTCAGACTCGCTCCACTATGGGACTATTTTAGGGACCGCTTTAATACTTATATATGGCGTTTTCTTGGCTTGCTGATAGCGAAAAGTTATAGGAAACCTCAATTGTCGAGGTAATTTTCAATTTCTTTTTTCTTTTTTTTTCATGTCAACTAACTGATGAAGTGCTAAACGCATTTCTACGACACTAGATACTAAAGCTCATTAGTAATACCATGGCGTTTAGTATATGCAACAGTATGMCGTCTTCTCCGTCTTCCTGCCGATTGTATAATGAATCATTCGATAGCAATCAATTTAATTTCCTGCCTTCCTCCAGGAGAGTTCCGCACAAATTATAAGAYAATAAAATAAGCGCAATCATAATGATGTAGTGAAATGACACAAACCATATTTGTTCGATATCAACAATTTCGTACAATGCATTTTTATAGTTTTTTCAGTTGTATGTATTTGAGACATCGTAATTGTCGACAACTTTAAAACGTTATGTAGTTACTCGTTTTGCTTCTTCTCGAGAGACCCCGTTAAGATTACTAGTAAGTCTGTGCCATACTATACTGTACAATTATTGGACTTATTCATCCTCAACAAAATTAATCGATTCTGATTGGACAAGAGCAGTACAATTAAATCCCAATTTGTACTCTGTAGAGTCCGAATTAGATCGCTCAATTTTGTTGAGTGTATTATAAAAAATAGCACTATCTTCTCGTACAATACGGAATGATGTTTTGGCAGCTCTCAAATTGGACTCGCCTAAAGGCTCATCCATTTTGAAAACTTTCAAAACATCATTCGTACCTATCAATTCCGAACTGCGATTTCCTATACAAATAACTCGGCATAAGTAGCGTTGTCGTCGCTAATTGCCAGCACTACTTCTTGTAGCTTGGTCTTYCCATGGCAAGGTATTTCGCCGGCTAATATTATTATTTTGAGACTATCAGCTCTTCATTACACGAAGAAGTACRAGAAATATATAGTAAAAACGAAGATTTGGTCCGAAACCGTCGAGCCTTTGATAACAACTATTAGGACTACTAGGTTCGGCGCAACGATAGCTCTACGTATGAAGCGGGCCTTATAACCCATTACATGTAGCAATTAAAAATTTTACCTGGACGTACGCGCAAACAATGTTTACCACGCGCTTATTTTTGATTATGATTTCAATGGCAGGTCCTCAGTCGGTCGAAGCCGCCGGACGTTAAAAAATTTGCAACTGTGTGKCTGTACCACAGGGCGCGCCTTATTATATTTTGTACTAGTCCATGTGATAAAAGCGCTTAACTTATCATATGAATCGTCAGTATTTGACTATTTTATCATTTTACGTGCATCCATCCTCATTTCCTAAAGATAATCCATCTTAGGCAAGTCGTATGTGTGATGCTTTTTGGAGCCCCCTCTTTAATTTGATCGTTTGCATTCAATTCGCAACTACTGTAATAAACTGACGACCAATCAAAATCCACCCGCCTACGG